AAGACGTTTCGCTTCCCATTCAAAAAGCTTCTTCAGCTCTCACTGAACAGCTCCCAACAAGCCCAATCTGCGGCATTGTGCCCCCCTCACCTCCGTATGTGAATGGGAAGGTATGTCTTGTCTGATTTTGGCTGACCTCACCTTTCCACCACCGCCTCCTCCTCCTCCTCCTCTTCGTCCCTTGCTTGCCACTTCTATCCTTGCACCCTCGCCCTTCCTTTTGCCTGCTGTCCAAGGAGCAACTGGACTTTCTTTGAAGAGATTTCGCTTCTCATCCAAGAAGCTTCTTCAGCTCTGACTGGAAGGTGGGGAATGGAAGGATTTACGACCAGCTGTCTGCAAGGAATATAAATCCTTCCATTCCCCATCATCCAGTCAGAGGTCTGTAGAGATTCTCGGTCATCCAGGTCATGGTTGTCCCAAAGGTGCTTTTTTTTTTTTTGAAAAGTTTTAAAATATTTTACAAACAAATTTTCCCCCATCTTCCTCCCCCCCACCCATTCCCTCCCCCTCCTCCGACTTCCCAGAGCAAAATACAGGGTATAGCATTAAGCAAACATAATCAAACATAATCAAACTAACTATAAGCTCTTAACTCCCCTTCACATTTTAACTCCCCCATACATACCAAAAATAAAAATTCACTCAAATTCATTCATAAGCTATTTGCAACTTTTTAGTCCCATGTTTGTTTTGAATATAATCAATCCATCTTGTCCATTCCAATAGGTATCTTTCATTCGAGCGATCCTTCAAATATGCAGAGATTTTAGCCACCTCTGCCAAATTAGCTACTTTTAATGTCCATTCTTCAATGGTAGGTACATCTTCCTTCTTCCAGTACTGCGCCACCAAAAGTCTGGCTGCAGTTATTAAGTTCAAAATCAAATTAGTCTCTATAACTGTACAGTCTGTAATTATACCCAATTAAAAACAACTGTGGAGTAAATTTAATCTTCTTTTTAAAAATATTTTGTACAACCCACCATGTCTTAATCCAAAATGCCTAAATTTTTTTTACATAAAAATATGGAACACTTCACGAATTTGCGTGTCATCCTTGTGCAGGGCCCATGCTAATCTTCTCTGTATTGTTCCGATTTTAGTATATGTGCTGCCGAAGCGAGCAGCCAGGAGGCAACTGGACGTCCCCAGCTAGCATGAGACTTGAAGCCCACCTGTCTTAAAGTGGCCAAGTTAAAAAAACAAACAAACTGTGGTAGGAGACGGTGGAGAATTGGGGGGGGGGGGAAGCCTCCTAAGGAATGGCTGGCTACTTCTGCATTGCTCCAAAGACAACATCTGGGAGCTGTCCATGACATCACTGGCTGAATTGACTTCAAAGAATTTTACTGCTCCGACCAATGATCAATGAGCTGACTTGGAAAGGCATTTCCCAGTTTGTTAGGGTTCTTATATTAAAAACTTGGGGGGTTTCTTACCTAAAAGAAAAATTTCTGATAATAAGGATGTTGACTGAATCAACCGGAGAAAAGGCTTTTTGTTTGCTTTATTTTTTTGTTTGTTTTATTAAATTTGTATACCGCCCTACTCCCGAAAGACCCAGGGCGGTGAACAGGCACAGAATAAAATACAGAAATACAAAAGTTAGAAACAATTTAAAACCAAATTAAATAATTTAGCCCAAGACAACTAAAAATCCCAATAATTTAAAACACATTAAAATTTTAATTTAAAAATTTAAAAGAAAGGGGAGAAAATTAGGCCAGGCTGGCTTGCTGGACTAGGAGGGTCTTAAGAGCACGGCGGAAAGTACGCAGATCCGGGATCCTCCGTATCTCCGGGGGGAGCTCGTTCCAGATAGTGGGTGCCCCCACAGAGAAGGCCCTCCCCCTGGGGGCCACCAGTCGACACTGCTTGACTGACGGCACCCGGAGGAGCCCCTCTCTATGAGAGCGTACTGGCCGGTGGGAGGCTGTTCGTGGTAATAGGCGGTCCCGTATATAACCAGATCCTAAGCCATGGAGCGCTCTTTTTGTCATTTATTTATTTTATTTTTTATTTAATTTATATGCCGCCCTTCTCCGGAGACTCAGGGCGGCTTACAATGCATTAAGCAATAGCCTTCATACTTTTGTATATATTTATACAAAGTCAGCTTATTGCCCCCACAAACTGGGTCCTCATTTCACCTACCTTAGAAAGGATGGAAGGCTGAGTCAACCTTGAGCCTTGGAGAGATTCGAACCAGCAGTAATTGCAGGCAGCTGTGTTAATAACAGGGTGCTTAGACCACTGTGTGTGTATTTACAAACACACCCGAAGTAATACATATGGATCATGTGAAATGTCCTTACAACCATTATCTTGATAGCTCTACCATCCAAAAGGGATTAAAATATGGTCACAATTAGTACTAACATTAATGACAGCAATTTCTATCTCACAGCTGCTTTAATAATTGGCTCAAGAGAATTCCTTGATGTCTGTGGAGATTCTCAGTCATCCAGGTCATAGTTGTCCCAAAGATTTTATTTATTTATTTATTTATTTATTTATTTATTTGTTTGTTTGTTTGTTTGTTTGTTTGTTCAACTTGTATGCCGCCTTTCTCCGAAGACTCAAGCGGCTTACAATTGCATTTAAAAACCATATATAAAACATTAAAAGTTAAACCATTAAAAACAATTAAAACCCATTCACACCATTCATGGCGTGATGCTTTTTTGCAAGAAGCAACTGGAGTTTCTGGTTTCTCTTTGAAGACGTTTCGCTTCTCATCCGAGAAGCTTCTTCGGCTCTTGTTTTCTTTGAAGACGTTTCATTTCTCATCCAAGTGCTGAAGAAGTATCACTGCTGTATGGAATTTATATGGAGTTTTTTCTAAAGGTAGCAAAAACTTCTATTAATTCATTAGGAAAAGCTCATAATATGTATCTATAATCAGAATAATTACGCTTTTCTTTGTCAACTGGTACTCCCAACATACTTACCTATCCTAATTCATTTTGCTGTTGATACAGGGGAAAAAAAAGCCTCTTTCTTATCTATTAGTATTATGTCGTATAGCATAAGGAGCCTTGGTGGCGCAGCAGACTAAAGTGCTGTTAAGTAACACCAGCTGCCTGCAATTACTGCGAGTTCAAATCTCACCAGGCTCAAGGTTGACTCAGCCTTCCATCCTTTCGAGGTAGGTAAAATGAGGACCCGGATTGTGGGGGCAATAAGCTTTGTATAAAAAAGAACACCGCTTAGGGGGGGGCCGAAAGCCCTACTAAGCAGGTATACAGTATACAAAAGTATGAAGGCTATTGCTTAACGCATTGTAAGCCGCCCTGAGTCTCCGGAGAAGGGCGGCATATAAATCGAACCAATAAATAATAAATAAATGAAATCACAGCTGCCAGTTCTTTAGCTGCTGTTGGCCTTTATAATTGATAATGGCATAGTGTATCAGTGTAACATATGTGTGGATGCAAGCAATGTAGCCTTTTGCAATTGACAGATGCAAATTTTGTCAATGCCAAGTATTGTCTTAAGATGTTTTTGCTACCGCATCCAGTGTAATGTTAGCCGCTGAGACCATGATGGCCAGTTTATGCCTTAATCTTTCAACTTTGATGTTCAGATCTTGATACTTTGGGATCTTCTCCAATTCTTTGTCTTCTATTCTACTACCCACTGGGATTGCCACATCCATTATCCACACCTTCTTCTTTCAATCACAGTTAAAACTGGTGTGTTGTGTGTCCAGACTTTGAGCAGTTTCTATTTGAAAATCCCACAATATTTTAATAACAACATTATTATTTATAACACACCCTGATTTTCTAGTGTTTCCTTACAATTTAGGGTAACTAGCAACAATTTAAACCAGGGGTGTCAAACTAGCTGTGTCACGTTGTTGTCACGCAACTTATTGTGACTTTTCCCTCCTTTGCTAAACTGGGGGTAGGGGTGGCCAGCGTGTGACGCATCTGGCCCGCGGGCTGCGAGTTTAACATCCCTGATTTAAACTAATACAAGGGTCATTTCGAAAATGACCAAGGACTAGTGTTATATAGCAAGCACTTTTCTGTCCCCGTACCACACATGCACCCCCCACAGATGGCCCGGAGTTAATAAGCCACACAACAAAACTCTTTGAAGATAAAGCTGGCAGCAACCCAGTGGCTAGCTGCCAATTCAGACTTTACTCACACAAAACAAAGATTAGACTGCAAGCATTCCGATAAAACAGGCAGAGTTTCAACAATACAAGGATTAATCCAAATGCAGTTCGATAAAGCAGGCAAAGTCCAGTAACGCAGAGATCATGGATTATTTCCAGTTTTTGCTCATCACAAACTGAACCGGCCACCACACCCACATTTATACCCTGTGGGGTGTGGCCCGGTGACTCAGCTTATCTCTGGCACGCCTTCCCCTCTGCTGCGCACGCTTCTCCCTGCGCCTTTGCCGAGGGTCCAGCCAGCACTTATCTTCTTTGTCGCTGTCCACCTGTGGCTGCGGGGACGTGCTTGGCTCTGAGCCTATCTTTTGGCCTTCGGTGTCCTCCGGAGACATTACCAGAGAGGAGGGTCCTGGAGAGGGAGGCCTTGCCAACTCCTCTCCCTCACTCTCAGAGTCTGCATCTGTCGATAGCCCAGGCTCAGGCAACGGAGCCACAACAAGCACAGACAGATAGAACACAAAGTAAAACATCATATAAAAACTATATCGACATGGAACGAATCACACCATAAATAAAGATATAGTCACTCAGCATGAACTCTGAGGAATTGGGCTGGGTCGTGGTCATAAGTCGAGGACTACCTATACCTCAAAGAGGTGACACATATCCGTTTTGCTTCTCCTCCCAAGGAGCATTCACCACTTTGGGGTTTCTCCCCAGTGAGTCCTTTGATGAGTGGCGAGTTGCAGCTTCCGGCGAAAACTCTTCCCGCAGTGCAAGCACGCATAGGGTTTCTCTCCGGTGTGAACCTTCTGGTGGGAAAGAAGGTATTTGCTGCTGGTGAAGCATTTCCCACATTCGAGACATTTATAGGGTTTCTCTCCCGTGTGGATCCTTTCGTGAGTGATGAGGTACACCTTCTGGCTGAAGCTCTTCCCGCACTCCAAGCACGTGTACGGTTTCTCCCCGGTGTGGATTCTTTGATGGGAAATGAGATTTTTGCTACTGCTGAAGCTCTTCCCGCACTCCAGACATCCGTAAGGTTTCTCCCCGGTATGGAGCTGTTGATGGTGGGTGAGGCTTGCCCCGTGGCTGAACCTCTTCCCGCACTCTGGGCATTCGTAGGGTTTCTCCCCGGTGTGACTGATCTGGTGGGAGTTGAGGTTCGACTGCTGAGCGAACGCCTTCCCGCAAGTCGGGCATTGGTACGGCTTCTCCCCGGTGTGGATCCGGAGATGGGAAGTGAGGCTGGCGCTCTGACTGAAGCCTTTCCCGCACTCCTTGCATTTGTATGGCTTCTCTCCCGTGTGGATCTTTTTATGGGAGCTGAGGTATTTGATGTCGCTGAAACACTTGCCGCATTTGAAACATTCATAAGGTTTCTCGCCCGTGTGAGTTCGGTGGTGGGAAATCAGGATATCTCTCCTCTTGAAGCTCTTGCTGCACACCTGGCACTGGAACGGTTTTTCCCCCGCGTGGGATCCCATGTGGAGATAAAAGGAAGATTTGCAACTGGAGATCTTCCCACACATCGCATATTCATTTTTTCCCATCATTTTCTCTATTCTCCCTTCACGGGCCTCATTGTTCAACTCGGCTTTCGTTATCTTCTTTTCTCTCTCTTCTCCTTCACTTCCGATTCCTTCAAAAAACAGATTGCTTGGCTCTCCTTTAGACTCACTCTGCTGTCTCTCAGCCTCTGGGGTGGGGGGTGGGGGGAAAGAATTGGGATTAAGAGGTAAAAAAATCAAAGAACGTGCCCAAATGAGAATGACAAGCAGATTTTGACATGTATGAAAGTTTTTTTTTAAGCAAATAGTCAAGTCAGGGACTGTGTAGCTCACAATAATAAACCCTGTTGGTCAATTTTTTTTTTTAAAAAAATCCAACTTTAGACTTAGAATAACTTTATTGTCCCTTTTGAATGTACATTAATTGGCATACATCAAAAATACATTAAAAAAACTTTGGAAGGATCGGTTAGTGAAAACGTCATAAATCTCTAAAAAACCTATACCGGTAGTCCTTGACCTACATCTATTTGTTCAGCAACTATTCGTAGTTATGACAACACTGAAAAAAAGTGACTTACGACTGATTTCAAACTTTCGACTGTCATAGCATCTCCACAGTCAAAAATTGACTCCCAGGAGATAAGAGATTGGTTCTAGCAAATACCATATTTTTGGGAGTATAAGACGCTCCGGAGTATAAGATGCACCTTAGTTTTTGGGGAGGAAAATAAGAAAAAAAAAATCTGCCTATGCCTACCAGCATCCATCAGTATTCATCTGGCTAGCGTCCTGTCAGTGCATGAGGGAGTTGAGGGCTGTTTGGAAATTGAAACATTATTTGCTGTGTGAGCAACAAGGAAGCAGACAGCAAGGAGCCTGGGCGTGGCTTAGGTTTGCAGCTCTGAGTCTGTACTAAAGCTGCAAACTAGTCTGCTGCTCAAAACTGAAACTCCTCTCCTCTGCTTGTGTTTTGCCTGGAAAAGCTGCTTTTGGTATTGTATATTTTACTTCATGTGTTACATTATATACAGTATAAAGACAAGTTATTGAATCCTGCTGAATCAGTTACTTGTGTGTGTTTTCTAGATGTGACTGCTACTGCAAACTCTGACACATCCTTGCAGCAAATAGCAAACAGCCAGGTCAGCTTCAGCACATTATTGCAGCCTGATTCAGAACAAGCAGCTGATTGGTGGGTGAATCGGCCTCTCGGAATATTCCCAATCAGCTGTTTCAGGCTGCAGGGATTACCACAGACCATCACTGCCTCCGTGCCTCAAACACATTCGGTGTATAAAATGCACCCAAATTTTCACCTCCTTTTGGCGGGGGAGGGGGGGGGAAGTGCATTTTATAATCTGAAAAATGGTCCCTGCTATTTATTTCTTGAGTTTCTGCTCTGCCAAACCTTGAAATTCATGGCAATTTACAACTATAAAGCCAAGCAGTATGTACTACACACAAGGATAAGATGAATAAAACAAGCATCTGCAATCTGTAGGTACCATCAGCTAAGGGGTATTGACTGGTTGGGCCTGAAGGAGACCCTTTTCTGCTGTGGCCCCATATGTCCCTCTGGAACATTATCACCCTGAGACCAGGCTGCTTTCCAACCTGCTGGCCTTTTGTAAGGCCTTGAAGGGCTGCTTCTCTGCTTGCGGCATGGAGAATGTTAAAATATCCTGCAAATCCTCCGCCACTATGGAGCCTGAGTGGCGTAGGAGGCTAATGCCTCCTACTAAGGCAGCATTTAACATCCAGCTGCCTGCAATTACTGCGAGTTCAATTCTCACCAGGCTCAAGGTCGACTCAGCCTTCCATCCTTTCTAAGGTGGGTAAAATGAGGACCCGGTTTGTGGGGGCAATAAGCTGACTTTGTATAAAATATACAAAAGTATGAAGGCTATTGCTTAACACATTGTAAGCCGCCCTGAGTCTCCGGAGAAGGGCAGCATATAAAAATAAATTAAAAAAAAAATTCAATCGCAGTCATTCAAAGACTTAAAAATGTGAAGTCTTTCTGAATGGGCTGTCCTAAACTCAGAGATGGATGGCTGCCTGTTTAAAACAATAAACAGGATGGCTTTGACACACTGATTTTGAGAAACGAACGTCAAAGGGGGAGGGGTGTTGTGGCCTGCCAGTGGCCAGCAGAGCTGGCAGCAGATTCGGACAATGAGGAGGTTGGGGAGAAACATGGGCCAGTCTTGGAGTCTGGGGAAGGCTCTGATGAGGGCTCTGTGTCACAGGCAGAGAGGGGACCAGGGCCGTATGCCAATTATCAGTTGCTTTCGGAGTCAGACATCAGTGAGGCAGATGAACAGCTGGAGCCTGTTCCTAGCGTGTGCATGCGCAGAGTTGCCAGACGAAGGGAACAGCTATCAAACAAGGGTCGCCTTGGGAGTAAGGCCACAGGTGGACGATGAATGGCCCTTCCCAGAGGGAATAAAAAAGGAGCGAAAGGGGAAGTGGAGTTTGCAGGAGACAATTAGTTCGCTTAATTGGTTCATGACTCTTTGCCAAGTTTGAAGATGGAACTTGGCAGCTCCCCAAGCCAGATAAGGTCTGTGACTGTAAATTCATCCTTGAAAGACTTTGCTAGATGTGAATGAGGAGAATTCACAGTAACTTAATAAAAAGGGGTTTTTGTCAGAGCACGGAGTCTGCTTCATGGTTTTGGGGAGCCTAGGCCAGAACAGGGGGAGGGGGAGCTTACTGAGAGAAACCACGATTCCTTTAATCTCCTCCATCACTTCTTCATGCAAAGCTTTCTGCTCCGGATTCAGCAGCCCCCACTCCTCCTCCGTAAAGCCCAGAGCCACCTTCTCCAACGTCACCAGATCCTGAAAGGAAATCAAGGTTTTTCTTATACATATCCTGTGCCAGGCTTTTCCTACTGGGCAAAGTCTTGGACAAGCTGCAGTGAACGTTATTTTATTTTATTTTTTAATTAAAAAAAAACAAACTTTATTGAATTTAAAAATATTAACAAGAAAAAAAAAGAGAAAATATACAGATTTTCTCCCTCATAAAATTTACATTTTCCACCCACAGTTACACTAACATATTAAATAAATGTGATTATATAAACACATATATACCAATATACAAACAGTGACTTATTTACCTATTCTATCTATCTGACAGTGCTTTTTTTTTTTTTTATTACTTGCATTTCCCCTAATTTTTATCTTTACCCTTTTTTTCCTTTGGTTTATCCACTTATACCATCTATTCCATACTATAAAATATTTTGAGTCTTCCTTGTCTTTTAATTCAAGAGTTAATTTATCCATTTCTGCGCATGTGTAGATTTTTTGAATTACTTCCTGATGTGTTGGCATACGATCTGTTTTCCACAGTTGTGCTATAGCCAGTCTGGCCGCCGTAATTATGTGTAGTGTCAAATATTTTATGTCTTTCTTTTCTAATATTCCTTTTTATCATGCCTAATAGGAAAACTTCTGGTTCTAATTCAAATTCTTGATCTATTATTTCTACTATCCATGTTTTTATTTTTTTCCAATATTTCTTTATTTCTGGGCAAAGCCACCAGTTTATTAGTTATTTGACTAAGCTTCCTTCAGCAAATTCGGTGCCCTGCAGAGAGGCTGGGACTACAACACCAATCGTTCAAAGCTGGTTTAGTTGTCAAATCTGGGGGGGTGGGGGAGTGGGGGTTCAGCCCCAACTCATCTGCAGAGCTCCAGCTTGTGAAAGGCTGCAGAAGAGAAGGCAGGAATAGCAATAGCCCTTAGACTTATATACCGCTTCACAGTGCTTTACAGCCCTCTCTAAGCGGTTTACAGAGTCAGCCTCTTGCCCCCAACAATCTGGGTCCTCATTTTACCCACCTCGGAAGGATGGAAGGCTGATTCAAACTTGAGCCGGTCAGGATCGAACTGCTGGCGTTGGGCAGAGTCATCCTGCAATACAGGTCGTCCTCGACTTACAACACTTCATTTAGTGACCCATCAAAGTTATAACGGCCCTCAAAAAAGTGACTTTATGACCATTTTTCAGTTATGACCTTTGCTGCGTGGCCATGATCATGTGATCAAAATCCAGACACTTAGCATTAGGTTCGCACGTATGACGGTTACGGCGTCCCAAGGTTCTCCTTTTGCGACCTTCTAACAAGCAAAGTCAATGGGGAAGCCAGGTTTCTCTTAACCGGGTTATTAACTTATCAACCGCAGCAATTCACTTAACAACTGAGGCAAGAAAGGTCGTAAAACGGGGCAAAACTCACTTAACAAATGTCTCGCTTAACAACAGAGGTTTTGGGTTCAATTGTGGTTGTAAGGTACAGGTAGTCCTCAACTTATGATCACAATTGAGTCCAGAATTTATGCTGTTAAGTGAGACATTTGTTCAGTGAGTTTTGCTCCCAGTTGGTGACTTTTCTTGCCACGTTTGTTATAGGAATCACCGCCGTTGTTAAATTAGTAACCCGGTTGTTAAGTGAACCCAGCTTCCTCATTGACTTTGTTTCTTGGAAAGTCGCAAAAGGGGAATCAAATGACCCCGGGACACCGCAACCATCATAAATGTGACTCAATTGTCAAGCACCCGAATGTAAAACCACATGACCACAGGAATGTTGCAACAATCCTAAGTGTGAGGAATGGTCATAAGTCACTTTTTCAGTGCCGTTGTAACCGTGAACGGCCACTAAATGGACTGTTGTAAATCAAGGACTACCTGTCCTACTGCGCCACTACGGCTAACCCATTAACTTTCCATCCCTGGCCTTCCTATTGCAATGGGAGCTGAGAGAGCGTGACAGAGGGAAGATAAGAGAAGAAGCATTCAAGCAATTGCTGGACATCTCTCCTGTTGTTTATCATGTACCTGATTTTGCAGCAAAGGACAGCTTTCCACCAAACCATCAAGAGAAAAATCAGAGCATAAGCCAGGTGGCTTTGCTGCACCTCCTAGAAGGGGAAAAAATATAAGGGATATTTATTATATTTAGGATCAAACCTTCTCACTGTTCTGACCAAGAGCACGAAGCAAACTCCATGTCCTGACCAAAAAAAAAAAAAAACCACCTTTTTATTAAGTTACTGTGAATTCCTCTCATTCACATCCAGCAAAGTCTTTCAAGGGAGAATTTACAGTTACAAACCTTATCTGGTGTGGAGAGCTGCCAGGCTGGTATCTTCAAAACTTGACAAGAAGTCTCTGAGAATCATGAACCAATTCAGCGAACTAATTGTCTCCTCCAAACTCCCCTCCCCTTTTGCTCCTCTTTATTCCCTATGGAGGGGCCATTCACCATCCACCTGTGGCTTTACTCCTGAGTCGACCCTTGTTCCTTAGCTGTTCCCTTCTCCTGGGAGCTCTGTGCATATGTACACTGGGAACAGGCTCCAGCTGTTCTTCTGCCCCACTGATGTCCGACTCCGAAGGCAGCTGACAATTATCCGATGGCCCTGGCCCCCTCTCTGCCTCTGACGTAGAGCCCTCGTCAGAGCCTTCCCCAGACTCCAGGACTGGCTCATGTTCCTCCCCAACCTCCTCACTGTCGAGTCTGCCACCAGCTCCACTGGCTGCTGCCAGGCCACAGCACTCACCTGCTTCCCATTTCTAGGCAAAATGACCAAAATTGTCTACGATACGGGTAGTCCTGATCATTTTATGACCTTTTGCAATTACGATGGATGTTTTACACCTTTGTAAAGTGTCTCAGAATTTTGATCACATGACCATGCAATGGTCGTAAGTGTGAAAAAGTGCTCATAAGACCCTTTTTACAGTGCCGTTGTAACTTGGAATGGTCACTAAGTGAACTGTTGTAAGTCGAGGACTACCTGTATTTCAATCCCAATGGGAAAAGAGATCAACAAAATCTTTCTCCTCATTTAAGCTCTTTTGAATGCGGTAGCATGGGTAGACAAAATCCCAAAAGTATTTCCCGGAAGCCAACAACACCCAATATAACAGTTATTTTTGAAGAAAATCAAGGAAGGGTGGGGAGTGAGTTAGAAAATGACGCCATATTCCTTACCCAGTGATGTATCATCTTGGTGATCTCCTTCTAAGATCCACTGTGTAGCCACTTCAGTGACACGGTTCTGCACCAGAGAGAGAGAATCATCCAAGGACAGAGATTAGAAAGAGGACAAGATTTGGGGAAAGGATCTCCACAATCTCCTCCAAAGACGATTTCCAGAAAAAATCTGATGGAATTAGGAAAGGAGTGACTTCCAGGACAATTTTACCCACCTCACAAATCAGCCAGGAGGCATCTCCCTCACCTTTTGATCTTCCTGCTTCCTGTCCTCCTCTTGGCTCAGGAGAAATCCTTCGGCCAGGGCCACCGCCTGCGAGCTGGTGTCTGCACCACACTGTCTCACCCAGCTCTTGATCTCTGGGGGCAAGATGGTCAGAAATTGCTCCAGCACCACCAGATCCAAGATCTCCGCTTTGGTGTGATGTTCTGGCTTCAACCACTGACGACAAAGCTTGTGGAGTCGGCTACAAACCTCTCGGGGACCCGTAACTTCCTGATAGCCAAACTGCCGGAACGGCTGGTGTTGTGTGCTGCTCAGACTCACTGTAGGTCCTCCTGAGATATTTTCAACAGTCGTTGCCCAAATGTGGGCACTGCTACCCATCTGATGGCAAGGAATGGCTCGTTTTTCTTGGAAGCCATCAATGTTTGGTCGTCGTAGATTCAATTGCAGCTCCTGGGCAACATTCAACATGGCCAGAAAATTGCTTTCTGCTTTTTTTTGCACGTGGACCCAGCTCTGTAAAACCAAGAGAAGACAATTTATCTTTCTGTGAAAGCAGGGGATTACAGGTAGGCCTCAACTTTCGACCACAAGCACTTGGTAGAGCAGCACCGAAGAGATATTTAAATGCTAAAAGGTAAAGGTAAAGGTTCCCCTCGCACATATGTGCTAGTCATTCCTGACTCTAGGGGGCGGTGCTCATCTCCGTTTCAAAGCCGAAGAGCCAGCGCTGTCCGAAGACGTCTCCATGATCATGTGGCCGGCATGACTCAACGCCAAAGGCGCATGGAATGCTATTACCTTCCCACCAAAGGTGGTCCCTATTTTTCTACTTGCATTTTTTACGTAATTTCTAACTGCTAGGTTGGCAGAAGCTGGGACAAATAACAGGAGCTCACCCCGTTACGTGGCACTAGGGATTCGAATCGCTGAACTGCCGACCTTTTGATCGACAAGCTCAGCGTCTTAGCCACTGAGCCACTGTGTCCCTCTTTAATTTAATTTAAATGCTACGATGAGGCTATTCCTACAAGGATCAGAACTAAGCAAGCCATGGTCTGTGACGCTCTATGGAAGTGAAAGTTGAAACTCTGACGAAGCAAGATAAGAAGAATATTGACACCTCTATAGTGTTAAAGAAGACTCCTGAGACTACATAGACAGCCCTGAAAACAAACAAAGGGATAGCCAGAGTTCTCACACAAGGCACACAAACGATCAGATTCAAATTAACTTATTTTGAACACCTCATGGGAAGACTCAGCTCTCTGGAGAAGACTCTGATGATGGGAAAGATGGAAGGAAAAGCAAAGAAGAGGATGACTAGCAGCAAGGACTCAGTTACAGAATAATTGGAAGGGACTTTGGAGCAGTAGTGGGTTTCAATTTCATTTGCTACCGGTTTGCTCATGGGTGCGGGCGCTGCGCATGCGCAGAGACATCCGGGAGAGTGGACAGAGCCTCCCGCCGCTACCAGTTTGCTCGATCCTGGGCGAGCCAGTAGCAATCCACCACTGCTTTGGAGGTCTTCTAGTCCAACCCCCTACTCAGGCAGGAGACCCTATACCATTTCAGACAAATGGTTGTCCAATCTCTTCTTCAAAACCTCCAGTGATGGAACACCCACAATTTTTGGAGGTATGTCGTTCCACTGATTAATTGTTCTGTCAGGAAATTTTGTCAGTGTATAAGAAATTATGAGCTGGGATAGCCATAACAACAAGACAGCCAATGGGAACTATTTGGTGACTAAGATTTATTTATTTATTTAGCGTATGGCTGGTCACACACAGTATTAAAACATTTCATTTTTATAGGTTAAAACAATAAAAACGATTAAAAAAAAGCAGTAAGAAAACCTAAGAGGATAACAGAAATAACATTTCAGAGTTTAATGTCGAGTTTGGAGATCCAGTCAGTAGCTGTCGTTGTTATGCAGAGGAAGTCCCTAGAATCTCCTGGATACCTTCTGTTAGGGCATTCTCTCACTATATGTTGGATAGTCTGTCAGGGGCCCACGCAATCTCATTGTGCTGAAGGTGTCTTTCCCCATTTATACAAGGAGTCGGCACACACCCCATGACTCGTTCTAATTCTGTTATATGTCACCCATATGTGTCGGGATAGGTTAAATCCTGGAGGTATACTATTAGGATTAATATGCTGAGATATCTTGGGGGCAATAGCTACTCCATGCTTCCATCCACTTTTGTGTGGTGTTCTGATGATCGGCCATCAACTTAAGCGCTGTCAAGAGTGGTGGGTTTCTTGACAAGGAGGCAAAGTTACTCGCGTCCGTGGCAATCCTTAAGCTACACGTCCTCCTGGGTGGTGCTAAATGAGTAACAGACCGACTGGTAGCCAGACATCCGCGAGGATCTCCTGGCTTCACACACAACCCCATGGTCCTTTTAAGGATCTTTTAAGTACCAAGGTGACTAAGAAACAGGATCTGTTGTGAGCCATGGGAGACGGCTGGGAGCCTGGGCATGTCTTAGCTTATCTGGTCTGTATATATAAGAGTTCTTCTAGTTCTGATTCTGTGACTTCTGGTTCTGGTTTCTGCTTCTTGTCCTTGTATTTGCTACCACGTTGTATACATGCATCATGTTTTATATTATTGTATATAAACAAGTTTCTTCTATAAATGAATCCTGCTGAATTATTTACTTGTGTGCTGGTTGGATTGTGCAAACTCTTAACAAATTTCTCTCTGGTTCTAGGTTGGAGTGCCACTGGAAGACCTGAAGGATCGGCTTCTTGTTTAACATTTTTATTGAGTTATAAAATGTAATAGAATTCTTTATTGGCCAAGTGTGATTGGACACTCAAGGAATTTGTCTTAGGTGCATAGGCTCTCAGTGTACATAAGGAGAACAAAATTCATTCATCAAGAATAAAAAGATACAACACTTAGTGATAGTCAAGGTTACTAATAAGCTATTAAATCGTACTAGAAAACAAATAAAAACAATATAAATTGAAAGATACAAGCAACATGGTTATAGTAATAAGTGGGAAGAGATAGGTACTAGTAAGGAAGAGAAGAACAATATTAATAGTCTTAGTAGTTAATTTGACAATGTTGTGGGAATTAATTGTTAAGCAGAGTGATGGTATTCAGGAAAAAACTGTCCTTGTGTCTAATTGTTTTGGTGTGCAGCGCCCTATAGTGTTGTTTTGAGGGTAGAAGATGAAACAATTTATGTCCAGGATGTGAGGGGTCTGTAGATATTTTCACAGCCCTCTTTTTGACTCGTGCAGTATACAGATCCTCAATAGAAGGCAGGTTGGTAGCAATTGTTTTTTTCTGCAGTTCTAATTATCCTCTGAAGTCTGTGTCTATCTTGTTGGGTTGCAGAGCCAAACCAGACAGTTATGGAGGTGCAGATGACAGACACAAATAATTCCTCTGTATAATACAAAATACAAAAGTAAATAGGAAAATGGTGGGGAGGAAGAGGGGGAAGAAAAGTGAGGAAGGATAAGAAAAAAAAAAGGAAAAAGAAACATTGACTTTGGATTCTCTCTGTTGCAGTAAAATAAGGCATTAGCACCAAGTCACAACTTTTTGTTTTTTCATTATAATACAAGCAAGCCATTTCTATAAAGATGTATCAATCTACTCGGTAAAAAGGAAGACCTGAAGGATCGGCTTAAGGACAGGCTCATCCAAGAGAAAAATCTCTTTAGCTATGTGGTCGCTCCCAGTTGACACGGACTTGATCAACAGCGACTCATCATCAACAGGACCAGAAAGACCTGGATTCAGGTCAACCCTCCACCCCAGGGGTGAAATGCTCCTGGTTCGGACCGGATCGCCCGATCCGGTAGCGATGGAGGCGGGTGGTTCGGAGAACCAGTAGCAAAAGTCCCTGGCCCCCCCATGCCCAGCTGAGCCACACGATCATCCAAGGCTTTTTTTTTTCTTTACTTTTAAAAGCATTTTTTCTACGACGTCTTTGGCCGAAAAAATGCTTTTAAAAGTAAAAAAAAAAAAAAAAGCCTCTGATGATAATGTGGCTCAGCTGGGATCGTCAAAGGCTTTTAAAAGCCTCTGATGATCCCAGCTGAGTTGCCTGATGGGCAGAGGCTTTTTTTCTTTTAAATGCCTCTGACGATCCAAGCTGAGTTGCCTGATCATCAGCGGCATTTAAAAGAAAAAAAGCCTCTGCCTATCAGACAACTCAGCTGGCATCGTCAGAGGCTTTTGAAAGCATTCCTGAAGAGGTTGTAGAAAAAAATGCTTTTAAAAGTTAAAAAAAAAATTGGCCACGCCCACCAGTCACATTACCCCCCACCAAGCCACGCCCACAGAACAGGTTGTAAAACATTTTAGATTTCACCACTGCTCCACCCCCTTCGCCAGGTGATTGGCAACACTTTTTTTTGTTTTGTTTTTTTATTTGATTTATATACCGCCCTTCTCCAGAGACTCAGGGCGGCTTACAATGCGTTAAGCAATAGCCTTCATACTTTTGTATATTTATACAAAGTCATCTTATTGCCCCCACAATCCGGGTCCTCATTTTACCCACCTTAGAAAGGATGGAAGGCTGAGTCGACCTTGAGCCTGGTGAGATTTGAACTTGCAGTAATTGCAGGCAGCTGGTGTTAATAACAGTGCTTTAGTCTGCTGCGCCACCAAGCTCTAACATTGAGCAAATTGCACGCCCAGTTTGCGATGGCCAAAACAGGAACCTCCCAGCCCATGGTGCTGATGCGGGATGACCCAGAAGGCACCGCCTCCCACCGGGGCCAGGATGTATTGGGCTGCTCTGCAAGCAGGTGCTTACCAGATGCTCTTCGGAGAGGCGATCAGGGACTGCAGCTGCCTGCCCGAGTTTGCAGGCAAAGGATGCAACCTGCACGAAACACTGACGCCTCCCTCGCGCCTCCTGCGTTTCTGCCAGAAGCAGGGCGGGCCTTCGCTGGAAAGATCCAGTCCTCCACTTCCCTCCGCCCCCCCCCATTTCCTTCCTCTCTAGGAATCCGTCTTCTGTTCCCTTAACCCCTCCACGACCGAAGAGCTCTAGGGTGCGATGCCCTGTATCCTATGCATGTTTAAAGCAAGCTCCATCTCAAGATTTGGTGGCCTCAAGGAATTACAGGATTACAGCTAAGGGCAGAGTTGGAAAAGATCTTAGAGGTCTTGAGCCCTGCTCAAGCAGGAGACCCAATCCCATTCCAGACAGGGTCTCCTGCTTGAACAGGGGGTTGGACTACAAGACCTCCAAAGTCCTTTCCAACTCTGCCCTTCTGTAATCCTGTTCTTTCAGATAAATAGCTGCCCAATCTCTTCTTTAAAAAATCTCCACTGATGATTGTATTTAATGATTATGATTATCACTTGTTGCTCATATGTACACTGAGAGCTTATGCACCGGAGACAAATTGTGTATCCAAATGTGTATCCAATCACAGTGGTTTAAAGCACCCTGTTATTAACACAGCTGCCTGCAATTTACTGCTGGTTCGAATCTCTCCAAGGCTCAAGGTTGACTCAGCCTTCCATCCTTTCTAAGGTAGGTTAAATGAGGACCCAGTTTGTGGGGGCAATAAGCTGACTTTGTATAAATATACAAAAGGATGAAGGCTATTGCTTAATGCATTGTAAGCCGCCCTGAGTCTCCGGAGAAGGGCGGCATATAAATCAAATTAAAAAAAAAAAAAAAATGTGTATCCAATCATACTTTGCCAATAAAAATTCAATTCAATTCAATTCAATTCAATTCAATTCAATTCAATTCAATTCTATTCTATTCTATTCTATTCTATTCTATTCTATTCTATTCTATTCTATTCTATTCTACTCTACCCTACCCTACCCTACCCTACCCTACCCTACCCTACCCATCAATCCTTGAACTTCAGGAATGTCCCATACCAGAAGGCTGAGGGTCCACGAGAATTTTGCAGCTGACTCCATTACTTTTGTCGACAATGGTTGAGACCAGAAAAGCACACCAAACGACAAATGCTGGACCTGGTAGTTCTGAAGCAGTTCCTGGCCATTTTGCCCCCAAGGATGGGCAGCTGGGTGCGGGAGTGTGGAGCAGACTGTGGCCCTCGTGGAAAGTTTCCTTCTGAGCCAGTCAGAGAAGCAGCAGAAGGAGCAGGACAAATTGCTGGTAAGAGACTTTCATCTTGGAGCTCAGACGTGGTTTGAATGAGGGGTCCTTGGTGCTCTCTGAGCTTGGTTGTTTTCTTGCAGATGTTTCATTACTCCAACTAGGCAACATCATACTAGATGTTGGAATGGAATAGGAATAGAATAGAAAATAGAATAGAATAAGAAATGAAATGAAATGAAATGAAATGAAATGAAATGAATAGAATAGAATAGAATAGAATAGAATAGAATAGAATAAAATAAGAAATGAATAGAATAAACATATCCCACCACTTCTGAAAGCAAAGCTGTTCCACTGGTTGATTGTTCTCACCGTCAGAAAATTTCTCCTTATTTCCAGATTGAATCAGTTTCCATCCATTATTCCTTGTCTGGCCTTCAGGTGCCTTGGAAAATAGCTTGACCCCCTCCTCTCTGTGGCAGCCCCTCAAATATTGGAAGACTGCTATCCTGTCTCCCCTGGTCCTTCTCTTCGCTAAACTAGCCCAGTTCCTGCAACCATTCATCGTATGAAGTTCATGGGTTCACATAAGACGAAGCTCACGCATCTTAAAATTGCCAAGGTTGAGAAACTCTGCCGTATGGAACAAAATAGTTCATTGCTAGTCTTAATTAATGTCACGGGTGCAAAGGAGTTGCCTCATTTTATGACTATTCTTGCCACAGTTGCTGCAGTTAAGTGAATTCCTGCAGTTGTTTAAGTTAGTGTCACGTTAAATGAATCTGGCTTTCCCTGTTGAATTTGCCTGTCAGAAGCACAAAAGGTGTCCGCATGACTCCAGGACACAGCAACCGTCATAACCATGAGCCAGTTGCCAAATTTTGATCATGGGGATGCTGCAATGGTCGTTGGAAAAATGGTCATAAGTCACTTTTTTCAGTGCCGTTGTAACTGGTCACTAAACAAACCGTTGTTAAGTCGAGAACTATCTGTAATGCCAGTGGGATGTAATCAAGCCAGTTTGGGACAATTTAGAATCTACGAGAGCAGTTGTGACTGCAGGACAAAGTTGTTCTGTCTCCGTCTCACACACACACACAAACAGACAGCCGGGGGTTAAATAAACTGGCAGACAACCAATTCTTTCGATAAGAGGATTGGCAGCAACCCAGTAGCTGCTTGCCAAGTACTTTACTCATAAACAAGATACACACAGTTCAAGAATTGTCAAGTCCAGTCCGTAATTAAATCCAAGGCAGATAATGTTGTTTCCAAAGATGCAATGTGACTCGATAGTAGTTAGTTTTGTCTGTCACAGAGTCTGAATGGCCACCTCACCCCCTTATATCCCCTGTGAGGTGTGGTCCAGTGACTCAGCTTAATCTCTGGCACGCCTCCTTTTCTGTTGCGTGCGCTTGTCTCTCTGATGCTGGTGTGGATCCAGCCAAGACTTATCCCCTTCACTGTCTGACTGTGAGGAGGTACCTGGCTCCTGGCCAATCTCTTCTCCTACAGACACCTGAGGCATTGCCAGAGAGGAGGGTCCTGGAGAGGGAGGCCTGGCCAACTCCTCTCCTTCATGTTCGGAGCCTTCTCCCTCCGATAAGTCGACCTCGGGGGTCGGAGCCACAACAAAAGTCAAGAGAGTGGCCATTGACGGTGCAATAGAATACACATTATAAAACAGGGAGACCTTCAATTATGGTGTTGTGGCCAACTTGACTTTATTTAAACAGACGTTTTGGATACCCTTATGCAGATGATTTTGCCTCCCTGCCCACCTGCCAGCAGCTTTGATGTATTTATCTGAATTGGGTTATTTCCAGTGATGGAATTCAATTTTTTTTACTATGAGTTCTGTGGGCGTGCCTTGGTGGGCATGGTGTGCCTTGGTGGGCATGGCAGGGGAAGGATACTGCACAATCTCCATTCCCACCCCACTCCAGGGGAAGGATACTGCAAAATCCAAATTCCCTCCCCACTCCTGGGAGAAGGATATTGCAAAATCTCCAGTCCCATCCCACTCTGGGACCAGCCAGAGGTGGTATTTGCCGGTTCTCTGAACCACTCAAAATTTCCGCTACCGGTTCTCCAGAACCTGTCAGAACCTGCTGAATTTCACCCCTGGTTATTTCTTCATATAAAAGCTGCCGAGAAATGTCAAAGATTTCCTTTGATAAAGTTACATTTCTCATATTTTTAATGCCATTTATGGTATCGCTGGATTCACTTAACAATATTGGCAAGAAAGATCGAGGGGCAAAACTCACTTAACCAAAGTCTCATTTAGCAACATAAATCTTGGGGCTCAGTTGTGATCGTCATTCGAGGACTATCTGTATTATTTTTTAAAAAAACAAACAAATTTTGTTCTTGCCTTCTGATTAGAGGGGATTGGCAGGACTAAAACTCACATTCTCCTGATGTTGAGCTTGGTGCTTTAAGCATCGTATCAACCTGGCTTGTACTTATGACAGCAACTTAATTAAAAAATAGGCCTTATCTCTCAACCCCTCAGCCTCTTTATACCTCTTGATTTTCCCTCCTGAGGGACTCAGAAACCTGCATAGGGTTTCGTTTTTGACACACTTTTCAATGTTTTTTTCTTTTTTAAAGCATGACTTTAGTATGGATGACATTGTATTTTATTGAAAAATGGGTCAAGGAAAGAGATGTTCACCAACTCATTCTTGTTAATACAAACCACGAATTAAACGGGACACACCAATGCATTCTACATTTAGCGGAGCATATTAGCATTAATATCAGTGTTAAGGGCAGGCGGGAGTTCCAAAGGTGATTTTTTTAAAGAGGCAACTGGACTTCCTTTGTTTTTCCTTGGAGACGTTTCGCTTCTGAAGAAGCTTCTTCGATGAGAAGTGAAATATCTTCAAAGAAAAACAAAAGAAGTCCAGTTGCTTCTTGAAAAAAAAAAGCACCTTTGGGACAACCATGACCTGAGATGACTGAGAATCTCCATAGATATTAAGGAAAGGAAATGGGAAATTTCTTGTTTTTCCCTTCTACAATTGGGTGGGGAGATTTCTTCATGAAGTCTAATAAACTTTAAAACAACACCCTAAGACAGAAACCTTTTCTGAATGCCAGTATGTGATCTCATCTCTTCGTCTTGCGACAGAAACTCAAAAATGCTTTTGTTTGCATATTTCAGAATGATAGAAAGACAGAATAACTACAGAATAAGAGAAATACAGAACAACAACAACAGAAGAATAACAGATTAACAAAATAACAGAGTTGGAAAGGATCTTTGAGGTCTTCTAGTCCAACTCCCAGCTCAAGCAGGAAACCTTATACCAGGGGTGTCAAACTCAATTTCATTGAGGGCCACATCAGGGCTGTGGTTGACCTCAGGGGGCCGGGCGGGCATGGCTGACTGGGTGGGTGTGGCTAACTGAGTGGGCGTGGTCAGCTTGATGTCACTCACTGAGCATGGCCAACTGGGTGGGTATGGCCAGCTTGACACCACTCCCCAAACTGCTGGCATGTTTGCTCTTTGCACTGGGTAGACCGGGCCGAAGCCACACTGGCCTGATATATCCTCTTTGCACTGGGTAGACCGGGCCGAAGCCACATTGAAGTGACTTCGGCCCGGTCTGAAGCGATGCAGGCTGGCCCCTTACATTTTCCAGGACGGCCCCGTGGGTCAGATCCGACCACATCTTGTGCTGAATCCAGCCCGCGGGCCTTGAGTTTATTTATTTATTTATTTATTGGTTCGATTTATATGCTGCCCTTTTCCGGAGACTCAAGGCGGCTTACAATGTGTTAAGCAATAGCCTTCATACTTTTTGTATATACCTGCTTAGTAGGGCTTTCGCGCCCCCCCCCAAACGGTGTTCTTTTAATACAAAGTCAGCTTATTGACCCCACAAGCTTATTGACACCCCTGCCTTATACCATTTCAGACAAATGGTTGTCCAATTTCTTCTTAAAACTTCCGGTGCTGGAGCACCCACAACTTCTGGAGGCAAATAGTTCCACTGATTAAAAATTGCTAGCTGAGAAGAGAATCTTTTCGTCATCCTATCCTCTGTCCGGCTTCTCTCCGGTCTGAATTCTTACATGAGAAGTAACATTTGCCTTCTGGTTAAAGTTCCTTCCATGGTCCGTGGATCGGTAGGTTCTTTTCCCCGCGTGAATTTTTTCGTGTTTAATAAGGTCAGAACCACGAGCAAAGCATTTTTCACACTCGGGGCATTTATAGGGTTTCTCTCCAGTGTGGATCCGGTAATGGGAAGTGAGGGAGCTGTTCTCGCTGAAACTTTTTCCACACTCCAGGCATTTATAGGGTTTCTCTCCCGTGTGAGTTCTCCGGTGTATGCTCAGCTGGGTATTACAAATATAACCCTTTCCACACTCGGAGCACTTGTAAGGTTTCTCTCCCGTGTGGTTTCTTCCGTGCCTGATCAGGTCCGAACTGCAAACGAAGCGTTTCCCACACTCCAAGCACGCAAAGGGCCTCTCGCCGGTGTGAGCTCGTTGGTGTCTACACAGTTGTGAATTCCAACTGAAGCACTTCCCACAATCTGAGCACCTGTAGGGTTTTTCCCCCGTATGAGTGCGTTGATGGATAGCCAGGTTTTCTTTCCGATTGAAGCATTTTTCGCACTCCGGACATTTATAGGGTCTCTCTCCGGTGTGGGTTCTCTGATGGATGCTGAGTTGCCTGTTACAAACAAAGCACTTCCCACATTCCAGACATTTATAGGGCTTCTCTCCTGTGTGATTCCTTTCGTGAATCAGGAGCTCGGAACTGCAGACAAAGGATTTCCCGCAGTCCTGGCAGATATACGGCCTCTCTCCGGTATGCAACATTAGATGCCTACTTAGCTGGGAATTCCATATGAAGCTTTTCCCGCATTCTGAGCATTGATAGGGTCTCTCCCCCGTGTGAGTGCGTTGATGGAGGGCCAGGTTTTCCTTCCGGTTGAAGCACTTTTCGCAATCCGGACATTTGTAGGGCCTCTCCCCGGTGTGAATTATGTGATGCCTGCTTAACTGAGCGCTCTCGGTAAAACACTTCCCGCACTCCAGGCATTTGTAAGGCCTCTCTCCCGTGTGAGTCCTTCGATGGATAGTCAGCTTGGTGTTACGGAGGAAACATTTCCCACACTCGGCACACTGGTAGGGTTTCTCTCCCGTGTGTTTCCTTATGTGTCTCATCAGATCTGAACTGTAATGGAAGCTTTTCCCACACTCCGGACACGTATAGGGCTTCTCCTCCGCGTGAGTCCTTTGGTGCCGAGTGATGGCTGCGCTGGAGCCGAAAGATTTCCCGCACTCTGAGCATTCATAGGGTTTCTCCCTTGTGTGAGTTTTTTTATGAATCACTAGTTTTTTCTTCTGGTGGAAGCCCTTTCCGCACTCCGAACACCAATGGGGTTCGTCTCCAGTCTGTGAGAACTGATCTCCGTCTGACTTGGCCCTTTGATTGGACCGCGTTCCGGAAATCCGACGTTTCCTTCTTGTAAGGGTTATTTCTTGTATTGACTGATTGTCAATTTTGTCAACTTTCCTTTCATCACCTTATGAAATAAAGGGAGAAAAATATGGTCACAGCTGAAGCCTGTAAATGAGCTTTCTCTCATTAAATAATCCAAATTTGTCAGAGTTTGTTGCAGCACACACAAGCAGACTATCAAGCAGGATTCATTAACTTCTCTTTATATATAATATAACGCATGAAGTTAGTATACAATACCCAAAAGCAGGTTTTCCACGTTGTAGAGAAGAGAAATAGCAGGTACAAACACAGCACAAAATGGAAGCACAAAATGGAGAAGGCAAAATGGAGGAGAGAGAAGCTAGTGCCCTCACGCTTATATACAGAACAGTTAAGCCACGCCCAGGCTCCAAACTGTCTCTTATGGTCCCATACAACAAATACTATGTTTCAGTTACCAAACAGCTCTCATTGGCTGACCTGTTGCTATGCCCTATTCCAGTTCATGAATATACTCTGACAAAATTAGAGATTTAGGTGGCTGGAAGAACGGAAAACATTGAAGATGGGAAGTGGGATGATCTTATCACACACTTTTCAGAGGCACTGACAGGAGATTAAAATGAGTAGGGGGACTGAAATAAGCAGGGTACTGGACTGGCTTATGAGGAACTGGATTTAATTCCCAGCTCTGGGTATATAGGTAGCCGCCGACTTACAACAGTTCAACAGTTTGCTTAGTGATTGTTGAAGTTACAACGGCACTGAAAACAGTGACTTAGGAACATTTTTCACACTTACAACTGTTGCAGCATCCCCGTGATCAAGATTCAGACAACCAAGTCATATTTATGACGGTTGCAGTGTCCTGGAATCATGTAATCCCTTTTTGTGACCCAACAAGCAAAGTCAATGCGGAAGCCAGATTCACTTAACAACTGTGTTACTAACTTAACGACTGCAGTGATTCATTTAACAACTAGGGCAAGAAAGGTTGTAAAATGGGGTAAAGCTCACTTAACAAATGTCTCACTTCACATAAATTTTAGGATCAATCGTGGTCATCAGTCAATGACTATGTTTTATGTTTTGTTTTATGTTTTATTTGATTTGTATACCGCCCTACTCCCGAAGGACTCAGGGCGGTGAACAGCCAAACAATAAAATAACATAGATACAAAAAATTTAAAAAACCAGATAAAATCAGATTAAATCATTTTGGCCCAGACAAATTTAAAACACCCCAATAATTTAAAAACAGATTAAAATTTACATGTTTAAAAAGGGAAGAGATTAGGCCAAGCCCGCCTGATGGAATAAAAAGGTCTTCACAGCGCGGCGGAAGGTGCGCAGATCCGGGATCCTCCGTATCTCTGGGGACTGGGGACTATCTGTGGGACTGAAGACAACTGTTCCTTTCTTACATTCTAAACTCATTGATAGATATTGAGGTATTGAAGATGTTTTTAGAGAACAAGAACCCACCTGACGTAAGGTCGTAAAATGGGGCAGAACTCACTTAACTACTCTCTTGCTTAGCCACAGAAATTCTGGGCTCCATTGTAGCCATACGTCGAGGACTACCTGTACCCTTATAGGTTGTATGAATGGATACAAAGTGAATCAGACGAAGTTCGGCTGACCTCTGCCTCTGAAATATTACTAATTTAATATTTAAACTTCTCTCTTAAAATGTGATTGGTGTTTATTATAAAAGAAAGACGGCTCCTTACCAAGAGAGGCCACAATCCTGCCAATCTGCTCCATGACCTCCCTGTGCAGAGTTTTCTGGTCAGGATCCAGCAGCACCCACTCTTCTTTGGAGAAATGCACAGCCACCTCCTCCAAGGTTACACAACCCTGAAAGAAACAAATGGCCCTTTTTAGACCCCAAAGGCTAACACAACACTAATTTTGCTTCCAATGAATGTCTTTGCTTGCAAAAGGCATTGAGATAATCACAGTGAGGGGAGAGAGGGACATTTGGATACAAGAAGAGGAGCAGGTGATCCTGTCACTAAAGTTGTATCCAGACTGATTTTCCAAGAATTTCCTTCTTCAATCAGCTTACTTGTATGCGCTGCACGTTGGTTGTTTCCCATTTGCAAAGAATCGGTTGCCGAGGGCTTGTTCCCAGCATCCTGACGCCACCTGTAAATTCAAGACGAGGTTTAAGTCACTGTTGTACACTTTTACACTAATAAAAATATAAACCCAATTTCTTCCCGACTAGGTATCAGTCCCGCCTCAACATAAGTAAGAACTGATCCTTGGTTCCATTTTTTGAGAAATGTATAGTTTACTGAAGGTCAAGTGATGTACAATAAAGCAAAGCCAGAACTGAGGTTCGTGCGCCAAATCCCTACACTAAAACTTTTCTCTCCCAAACGCTTCCCATTGCTGGTCGCCCCATCATCCAATTAGTTTGAAAAGAGGTGTTTTTGAAAGTCACTCCTGCAGCTGCTTTCTTCTCCCAGAGAAATGGCTTTGAGCAGAGGTCCCCAACCACTACCAGGCCTTGGCCTAATCGCCACTGGGCCACATGAGTGGGCGGATGGTGAGTGGGTGTCCGTGCACACGCACAGGCCCACTCGTGCGAGCATCGCAGGCGTTCACAGTCTTGTCGCGGGCATTCGTGGCCCCACTTGTGTGAATGTTTTGAGTGCTTGCGGTTCCACTCACATGAGCCTGGTTGCGAATGTTATGGGTGCTTGCTTGTGCACACACACACACACACACACATCCACCTTTCCCTCCCCCCCCTCCAGGCCGTCAACCTGGAAAAGTTGGGGAACTGTTGTGGTCCGCCAGCAGCCTACGGAGTTGGCAGCGGAGTTGGACAGTGAGGAGGCTGGGGAGGAACATGGGCCAGTCCTGGAGTCTGGGGAAGGCTCGGACGAGGGCTCTGCGTCAGAGGCAGAGATGGGGCCAGGGCTATCTGGGAGTTGTGTGAGGACTCCAGAGCCTCCAGAGTCAGACATCAGAGAGGCAGAGGAACAGGAGGAGCCTGTTCCTAGTGTGTGCATGCGCAGAGCTGCCAGAAGGCAAGAACATTTAAAACAAAAGGGATGACTTGGGAATAAGGCCTGGAGATGATTGGGCCAATAATTGGCAACTGATTTATGATGGTGGTAGATTGGCAATTGAGGCCAAGCTGCCTGAAAGCAGTTTCCGATGCTTTCGGTGGTGGCAGAGTGGCAAAAAACTGTTTAAACTCTTGTCACGGCGCCTCAAAGGGCCGCCCTACAGCTGATCAACGGTAAGAGGCAATGTGGTGGTAGACTAGTGCGCTCCAAAAACAAATGGGTAGACCGGTACAGCTCTGCAAGCAGTTAAAAGCTTGATAGACCAGTACCTCTGCTAAAACCTAAAGAATTGTTTGTCACATGACCACCAAACCACGCCCACAAAATAAGCCACACCCACTGAACCGGTAGTAAAAATTTTTAGAACCCACCCCTGGGCGGGTGCCTCCTCTGCAGGAGTATGTTGAGCAGAGGAAGGGAGGGAGGGAGGGAGGGAGGAGGAAAGGAAGGAGGGAGGATGGAAGGAAGAAGGGAGGGAGGGAGAGGGAAGGAGGGAGGGTAGGAAGATAGGTAGGTAGCACGGGTGAAATCCAGCAGGTTCTGAGAGTTCTGGAGAACCGGTAGTGGAAATTCTGAGTAGTTTGGAAAACCGGCAAATGCCACCTCTGGCTGGCCCCAGGAGTGGGGAGGGAATGGGGATTTTGCAATATCCTTCCCCCAGGAGTGGGAAGGGAATGGGGATTTTGCAGTATCCTTCCCTTGGAGTGGGGTGGGAATGGAGATTTTGCAGTATCCTTCTGCCATGCCCACCAAGCCAAGCCATGCCCACCAAGCCATGCCCACAGAACTGGTAGTAAAAAAATTTGGATTTCACCACTGGTAGGTAGATAGGTAGGTAGGTAAGGAAGGAAGGAGGGAGGGAGGAAGAGAAGGAAGGAAGGAGGGAGGGAGGGTGGAAGGAGGGAAGGAGGAAGGGAGGAAGGCGGGAGAGAGGAAGGAAGGAAGGAAAGTAGGAGGGCAGGAGAGAGGCAGGCAAGCAAGCGAGCGAAATCTCTTTCTCCCATCCACTCTTACCCAGCCAGGGGGAGGTGTCACCTCTCTCCTGCCCTCCACCCCCAGTCCATAACCTGGGGCTGCTCGCCATTGGGCTCACCTCTGCTTCGGGTAGATCAGCTCCAGCTCTGCAAGCCTTGGCGGGGAACCAGGCAGGGCGAAGGGGATTTGGCGAAGGGGATCCGAAAGCCCCTTCCCAGCTTTGCGTTCCTCACTACTGCTGCTCCCTTTGCTGCTGAGGCAGCAGCACCAGCAGCACCGGCGGCTAAAAGAAGCAGGGAAGGAGGGCGGCGATGGCTCTGTACGATGCCAGCTGCTCTCACCGGGCTGCCAAGGGTTAAAGCGCATGAGCGGATTCCTAGAGGGGAAGGGGAACAGGGCTGGAGATCCCCACTGCCCCCCCCTCCTCACAGCTTCTGCTACTTTGCTTTAGAGCTGGAAGGGATCTTGGAGGTCTTCTAGTCCAGCCCTCTGCTCAAGCAAGGGACCTTATATACCAATGGATGGCGAATCTTTTAGAGCAGGGGTCTCCAACCCGGGCAACTTTAAGATTGGCTGAGGAACTCTGGGAGTTGAAGTCCACAAGTCTTAAAGTTGCCCTGGTTGGAGACCCCTGTTTTAGAGACTGAGTGCCCAAACTGCAATTCAAAACCCACTTATTTATCGTGAAGTGCCAACACGGCAATTTAACTAATTTAACGGCGAGTTATAGTGGGTGCACTTAGATACACCCACATTACACCAATTCTCTGCGAGCTGCACTGGCTCCCTATTGGTCTCCGGGCGCAATTCAAGGTGTTGGTTATTACCTTTAAAGCCCTTCATGGCTCAGGGCCAGGCTATCTTCGAGACCGCCTTCTACCACATAGCTTCCAGCGACCGGTAAGATCCCATTGGTCTCCTCCGGGTCCTGTCAGCTAAGCAGTGCCGACTGGTGGGCCCGCGTGGGAGGGCCTTCTCTGTGGCTGCCCCAACTCTCTGGAACCAGTTACCTCCTGAGGTCCGGACCGCCCCCACCCGATTGGCCTTCCGCAAAGCGGTGAAGACCTGGCTTTTCCGGCAGGCCTGGGGCCGTTGATCTTGTTATAGTGATCTTGCGAGACCCGGCCACAAATTGGAGTGTATGTGTTTTAACGTTTTAATGTCTTCTTTTAACTTTAGTATGGGATATTGTTGCATTATTTTATTCTCTGTTGTAAGCTGCCCAGAGTCCCTTGGGAGTGGGGCCCCATAGAAATGCGACAAAATAAATAAATAAATAAATAAATAAACTTGAATAATGAGGTTTTAGTTTAGAAAAAAACAACTCATACATGATTAATGGATAATCATTTGTCTGAAGTGGTGTAGGGTTTCCTGCCTAAGCAGGGGGTTGGACTAGAAGACCTCCAAGGTCCCTTCCAACTCTGTTATTCTATTCTATTCTAACGTCTTTTCCCTGGTTAAAAAAAAAAACCCACAATAACAGAGCTTTCAATGATACAAACAACTTTTTATTGAAAGGGAAAAGTTTGCATTTGGCATGCTTTTGATTAATGTGACTTTTGCTGTTGTATGCACACTGATAATTTTTCTAACCTTGGCTCGTACTTAGTAAGTTTGAGAACAACACATGCAGCACTCAAGTCGTCTGTTATTCTGTTTCTGGTGTCGGATTTGATATAATTCAAAGCTGAAAACAGCTGCTCACAAGCGTAAGATGATCCAAACAAAGTAAGGAAAGCAACGCCAAGTGCTTTCATTGACTTAAAATTATTCGGCAGGGAATTCCACACTTTAAGGATTTCATTTTCAGAAGTAACTGCGTCAGAACTAACTGTGGTGTCCTTTGCCATCCTTTCTATCTTCTCAAGTGTTTCACGCAGGCCGTAGAATTTATTTTTCCACATAGAGCTTTCTTGAAATTCCAATAGCTCCATTTCCAGATTTTCTAAATCTAACCAGTGTACGCAGGAAAGATCAAGTTCTTCAAATTCGGCTTTATCTGGAGAAGTAAGAAAACACAGGGTTGTCTCCATCTTACGGAAGTGTAAAAATCTGTTTCTGAAATTCACCTTTGCAGCTGCTACAATGCTAGAAAATTCCTTGTAGATTTCCTGATGGCTTGTAGGATTGTCTGCAAAGGTTGTAAAATTTTCTAAATGCATTTTTAGATTGGGAAAATATTTCAGCTGCCCACTTTCAAGGTCTCTCTCAAAAACCTGCAGTTTTCTCTCAAATGTTTTGATATCGCAAAACATCCTTTCTGCCGTTTTCCCTACCCCTTGCAGTTGTTTGTTCAGTACATTGAAGTGTACTGTAAAATCTGTAAAAAACATGAGGTTGGTAAGCCAGGCCGTATGAGTGAGCTGTGGATATTCCTGCCCTTTTTCACTCATAAACAGACTAATTTCATCCAAGCAGGCTACAAATCTCTCCAGGACTCGTCCTCTGCTCAGCCACCGGACATTATTGTACATAAGTAAACAATTATACTGTGCCTGAACTTCATCAAGAAGTGCTTTAAACTGTGGAAAATTCTGAGCATGAGCCATGATGTAATTCACCATTTTTGTGACGTCTTTGAGGACATCGTCAAATTTTTTGCTGCTTTCCCTCGGACAAAGAGCTTCTTGATGTATGATACAATGGAACTGAATGACTTGATGTTTTGTTTCTTTAACAAAGAACTGTACGAAACCAGATGCTGCCCCCACTATAGAAGGTGCCCCATCGCTCGTAATTGAAACCACTTTTTCTGGTCTTACGCCTTGTGACGAAAAAGCCTCCATCACAGCATTGTAGATATCTTTCCCTTGTGTTCCTTCAGGCAAAGACACCAGTTTCACCAGCTCTTCTCTCATGATGTCACCAGCAGCGTAACGCAAAATTACCGCCAGCCTGGCATGATTATTTACGTCTGTGCTTTCATCCAAGCACATGGAGTAACAGGCTGCCTTTTGTAAGTCAGTGGCGAGTTGCTGACCGACATCGCTTGCCATGCGCCGGACTCGATCTTTAACAGTATTTCTGCTAAGTGGCACCTCAGAGATGCGTTTCATAATTTTATCCCTGTTTGGGAAATCATGAAAAAGGGAATTACACCTAGACAACATGGCCGTTTTGATAATATCCCCATCGGAGAGAGGCTTGCCATGTTTTGCTATGCAGAGTGAAATTTGAAAACTGGCAGCTGTCAGATGATTTGTTTTGGAAAGATAGTTGGAAAAAGTAAGAGACTGGGAATGATATTTCCTCAATTTCCCTTCAATAAACTCTTTTCTTTCAGTTGCACCAAGTTCGGCAACGCTTTTGTGTTTGGTGTCAAAGTGCCGTCTGACGCTTGATGTGCGACACACAACACTTTCGTTGCACAAAGTACACAACGCTTTCCCACTGCGTTCAATCACTCCAAATGACTTCGTCCAGGCCTCTTGGAATGCTCTTCCACTGTCTGTTTTTGCTTTTTTTGCTGCACTCATTTTTGGGTGTTCAAGACTTGGAGCCTACAAAAAACACAAATTATTTTTAAAAAGTGAAGCATCCAATAAAAATCTATCCCTGTACTAAAAATAGCTAACACTATTAGTTAACACTAAAGAAATGAATCAACAGACTACAGCAGTGGTTCTCAGCTGGGGTTCCTTTTGAATTTGCTGACCGCCAGCCAGGGGGGGAAATCCAGCAGGTTCTGACAGGTTCCGGAGAACCGGTAGCGGAAATTTTGAGTAGTTCAGAGAACTGGGAAATGCCACCTCTGGCTGGCCCCAGAGTGGGGTGGGAATGGAGATTTTGCAGTATCCTTCCCCTGGAGTGGGGTGGGAACGGAGATTTTGCAGTATCCTTTCCCTGGAGTGGGGTGGGAATGGAGATTTTGCAGTATCCTTCCTCTGCCACGCCCACCAAGCCACGCCCACCTCTGGGAACTGGGAAATGCCACCTCTGGCTGGCCCCAGAGTGGGGTGGGAATGGAGATTTTGCAGTATCCTTTCCCTGGAGTGGGGTGGGAATGGAGATTCTGCAGTATCCTTTCCCTGGAGTGGGGTGGGAATGGAGATTTTGCAGCATCCTTTCCCTGGAGTGGGGTGGGAATGGAGATTTTGCAGTATCCTTCCCCTGGAGTGGGGTGGGAATGGAGATTTTGCAGCATCCTTTCCCTGGAGTGGGGTGGGAATGGAGATTTTGCAGCATCCTTTCCCTGGAGTGGGGTGGGAATGGAGATTTTGCAGTATCCTTTCCCTGGAGTGGGGTGGGAATGGAGATTTTGCAGTATCCTTTCCCTGGAGTGGGGTGTGAATGGAGATTTTGCAGTATCCTTCCTCTGCCATGCCCACCAAGCCACGCCCACCTCTGGGAACTGGGAAATGCCACCTCTGGCTGGCCCTAGAGTGGGGTGGGAATGGAGATTTTGCAGTATCCTTTCCCTGGAGTGGGGTGGGAATGGAGATTCTGCAGTATCCTTTCCCTGGAGTGGGGTGGGAATGGAGATTTTGCAGTATCCTTCCCCTGCCACACCCACCAAGCCACGCCCACCAAACCACACCACGCCCACCAAGCACGCCCACAGAACTGGTAGTAAAAAAATATTGGATTTCACCACTGGTTTCTCCTTAATGTTAAATTAAAGGTAATTTTAAAGGGTTGTGGCAGGTTTGGTATTTCCCTTTGCGGTGGTGGGTCTGTGGGAAGAGGAAACCTGGGTTGCAGGGCTGGGCTGGGTAGAATTGGGGGGGCAAAGCCTGGAGCCGTCCCTCCTGGTGGGGCTGGGAAATAAGGAAATAAGGGAAAGGGGACCTTTGGAGGTTGGGTAACAGAAGCTGCCCCTCTGCCCCACACTCTCCCCATGAGGGGTTTGGTTGAACAAAGGAATTGGAACATCTTAAGGCAGGGTTGTTCCATTGTCATTTCTTGTTACTGCTAAGGGTACTTGTAGGGTTTGTTAATCAATTTAGGGTTTGGCAATTTATATATATTTTTTTTGAATTTTGCTTGGAGGCAAATGCAGCCCTTCCTTGTGAGGAAAACAAAGCAGAAAGTCCTCCAAAATGCATTATTGGGGATATTCCAAGTGCTCGATGGAAATCGAATCCCATATTTGACATCTAATAAGGGTGACATAGCAGTATTTGAGGGGCTACCACAAAGAAGGGGTTTAACGTGAGTGTAAGAGTGCGGCCGCGTGGGTTGTGATGGGAGAATCCCGATACTCCCATGTAACACCCCTCCTGCGCGACCTGCATTGGTTACCGGTTGCCCTCCGGGTGAGATTCAAGGTGCTGGTGATGACCTATAAACCCCTACATGGCTTAGGCCCAGGATATTTAGCGGACAACATCCCATCGCCTGGTTCGCGCCCATAGGGAGGGCCTGCTCAGGGTGCCGTCAGCGAGACAATGTCGGCTGGCGGCCCCCAGGGGTAGAGCCTTCTCTGTGGGCGCGCCCACCCTCTGGAATCAACTTCCTTTGGGGCTTCGGCTGGCCCCTGACCTTCACACCTTTCGCCGCGAATTAAAAACTTGGTTATTCAAGTCCCCCGGCCTGGACTGATGGGGTTTTTTACGGGTTTTTAATGATATCTGATTTAATTAGGCATTTTAACTTGCATTATGGATTGTGGTTTTGTTGTTGTGAGCCGCCCTGAGTCCGTTGGAGATAGGGCGGCATATAAGCCTAATAAAATTAAAATAAAAATAAAAATAAAATAAACTTGCCTCCAGAAGGGGTGGGGGGCTCCATAAGAAAAGACTGGACAGCCACTTGTCTGGAATGGTATAGAGTCTCCTGCTTGAACAGGGGGTTGGACTAGAAGACCTCCAAGATCCCTGCCAGCCCTACTCTGATTGATTGAATTGATTGAAGGGGCGTCAAACCTATTCTCCAAAGCCAGGGATGAAATGCTCCTGGTTCGGATCGGATCACCCGATCCGGTAGCGATGGTGGCGGGTGGTTTGGAGAACCGGTAGCAAAAGTCCCTGCCCCCCCCCATGCCCAGCTGAGTCATACGATCATCAGAGGCTTTTTTTTTTTTACTTTTAAAAGCATTTTTTTCTACAACCTCTTCCGAGGAAAAAATGCTTTTAAAAGTTTTTTTTAAAAAGCCTCTGATGATCACGTGGTTCAGCTGGGATCATCAGAGGCTTTTCAAAGCATTTTTTTCTGCAACCTCTTGGCCGAAGAGGTAGTAAAAAAAATGCTTTGAAAAGTCTCTGACGTTCCCAGCTGAGTTGCCTGATCGGCAGAGGCTTTTCAAAGCATTAGAAAAAATGCTTTTAAAAGTTAAAAAAAAAAGCCTCTAATGATCGCGCGGCTCAGCTGGGATCATCAGAGGCTTTTCAAAGCATTTTTTTCTGCAACCTCTTGGCCGAAGAGGTGGTAAAAAAAATGCTTTGAAAAGTCTCTGACGTTCCCAGCTGAGTTGCCTGATCGGCAGAGGCTTTTCAAAGCATTAGAAAAAATGCTTTGAAAAGTTTTTTTTAAAAAAAGTTGGCCACGCCCACCCAGTCACATTACCCCCCAACCAAGCCACGCCCACAAAACCGGTAGTAACAAATTTTACATTTCACCCCTGTCCAAAGCACCTGAAGGCAGGACACCTGAAGGCAACGGATGGTAACTAATCAAGGAGAGAAGCAACCTAGAATTAAAGGGGAAGATGTCCTGACAGCTAGAACTTATTAATCAAGAGCCTTGGTGGTGCAGCAGACTAAAGTGCTGTTAACTAGCACCAGCTGCCTGCAATTACTGCAAGTTCGAATCTCACCAGGCTCAAGGTTGAGTCAGCCTTCCATCCTTTTGAGGTAGGTAAAATGAGGACCTGGATTGTGGGGGCAATAAGCTGACTTTGTATAAAAAAGAACATCACTTGGGGGGGGCGAAAGCCCTACTAAGCAGGTATATACAAAGGTATGAAGGCCATTGCTTAACGCATTGTAAGCCGCCCTGAGTCTTCGGAGAAGGGCGGCATATAAATTGAACAAACAAACAAACAAATAAGAGAAACGACTCACCTCCAGAAGTTGCGGCTGCTCCAATATTGGAAATGTCAAAGAAAAGATTGGACAGCCATTGGTCTGAAATAGTAGAGGTTTCCTGCCTGAGCAGGAGTGGTGGTGGTGAGTTGGACTGGAAGACAGACCTCCAAGATCCCTTCCAACTCTGCTATCCTGCTCTTTTCCTTAGGTGGGCCAAAGCACTTGGGAGCTTCGGCTTCAGAATCTGTCCTTCCAAAGAACAATCAGGGTTGATTTCCTTTTAGGGTTACCTGATTGCATCTCCTTGCAGTCCCAGGGACTCCCCCACCAAGAGTCTTCTCCAAGCACCGCGCCTGGAAAGCAATATCAGATGAGCCTTGGTAGTACAGTGGTCTAAAGCACCCTGTTATTAAGACCAGCTGCCTGCAATTACTGCAGGTTCGAATCTCGCCAGGCTCAAGGTTGACTCAGCCTTCCATCCTTTCTAAGGTAGGTAAATTGAGGACCCAGTTTGTGGGGGCAATAAGCTGACTTTGTATAAAAATATACAAAAGGATGAAGGCTATTGCTTAGCGCATTGTAAGCTGCCCTGAGTCTCCGGAGAAGGGTGGCATATAAATCAAATTAAAAAAAAAAATATCAGAGGGCGACTTGCCACCCTTCTGCTCTTCCACCCATCGGTGGGTGGCAAGGCTGGTTGGTTGGTTGGTTGGTTCTGCAGCTTGGAAGCCCAGAGATGTGAAGTGTGTGTATAAATCACCTCCCCGGCCAGATTTCTGCCAGTCACTATTTTTCCTTTTCCGGCAGAGATCCTGAGGCTGAAGAGTTAAACTGATCGAGATCCACTTCCCAGAAGGGAAGGAGAGAAGCCATTGGAAGAAGGTGCGCACTTGTCACTTTGGGTGTGTGTGTTTCCTCTTCCTCTCCGGTTGGGGTGGGGAGGGGGGGAAGGGAAAGGAGGCATGCAGCTGGCCTTGCAAGAAGCCGAGGGGGAAATTCCCCCCCTCTCGAGCCGTGACGCTGGAAAGTCCGGGTAAAACGACAGCGGTGGATTCTTTGGAGGGGAGAAAAAGAGAGAGAGAGAGAGAGATGCTCTTTGCAGCAAACAGGGACGCGCGCCTTTGCAAAAAAACCCCTGGGGGGGAAAAAGCAGTGCGTGAGATCTTGCAAGCAAGTGGAAGGGAGAGGGGAAGCACTTCTCGACCCTTTTACACATTCCCCACGCACACCTTCAAAGACCCACACACATCCACACACGTTGCACACAAGGCGGTGTTTTTCCGCTGGAGGCGATTTAGCAAAGGTTAGGCAGCAATCCTTGCCAGGCACGATCCGCAAAGCGGCAGGTCTCCGGAAGGTGGCTGTTAACTACATCACCCAGCATCCCTGGGTCGGGGATCAGGGGGTTGAGAACCCTGCGGGAGCTAGTTATCAATCAATCAATTGATTGATTAATTGATTGATTTCTAGATTTTTTTAAAATTTGATTTCTATGCCGCCCTTCTCCGGAGACTCAGGGTGCGTTAAGCAATAGCCTTCATACTTTTGTATATTTATACAAAGTCAGCTTATTGCCCCCACAAACTGGGTCTTCAATTTACCTACCTTAGAAAGGATGGAAGGCTGAGTCAACCTTGAGCCTGGTGAGGTTCGAACTTACAGTAATTGCAGGCAGCTGGTGTTAATCACAATGCTATCAGTCTGCTGAGCCACCAGGCCCTTTGATAGTTAGCTAGTTGGAAATGAATGAATCTATCTATCTATCTATCTATCTATCTATCTATCTATCTATCTATCTATCTATTATTATTTATTTATTAGTTTGATTTATATGCCGCCCTTCTCCGGAGACTCAGGGCGGCTTACAATGCTTTTAAGCAATAGCCTTCATACTTTTGTATATACCTGCTTAGTAGGGCTTTCAGGGGCCCCCCTAAGTGGTGTTCTATTTTATACAAAGTCAGCTTATTGCCCCCACAAACCGGGTCCTCATTTTACCTACCTGGAAAGGATGGAAGGATGAGTCAACCTTGAGCCTGGTGAGAATTGAACTCGCAGTAATTGCAGGCAGCTGGCAGCTAAATACTACTTTAACAGTAGTTTAGTCCATTGCACTACCAGGTTCCTCAACCAATCAATCAATAAATCAATATCAGGAGTGGGTCAGCTGCCCTGCTCTGGATTTGGTTGCATAGCGGGTGTCACAATGGGGGTTTGGACCAGTGGTGAGTTGCTCCCGGTTCCATCCGGTTCTCTAGAACCGGTAGTAAAAGCGGCGGGAAGCCCCGCCCACCCGCCAGGACGTCATAATTGACGATCTGCACATGCGCAGAAGCTTCTATCTATCTATAAAAGATAATATAAACTAATACAGGTAGTCCTCGATTCATGACCACAATTGAGCCAGCAATTTCTGGTCCTAAGTGAGACGTTTGTTAAGGGAGTTTTGCCCCCTTTTACTTCCTTTCTTGATACCGTTGTTAAGTCAATCATTTCAGTGAGTGTTAAGTGAATAGCCCGGTTGTTAAATGAATCTGGCTCCCCCCCATTGACTTTGCTTGTCATAAAGTTACAAAAGGGGATCAGATGACACTGTAACCGTCATAAATATGAACCAGCTGCCATGCATCTGAAGATTGATCATGTGACCATGGGGTTGCTGCAGTGCTCATAAGCGTGAAAAATTGTCATAAGTCATGCTGCTGTAACTTCGAATGGACATTAAATGAACTGCTGTAAGCCGAGGACTACCTGTAATATTAGCTAGCAATTTCTGCTTATGGAAGCAGGATTTTAAATCTTCCGGGAGTCCAGTGGCATAGTAGGAAGCTGAGGATGAAAACAGTTATTAAAATGGTAAGATAGGCTCATCTTGGCATAATTGTTCCTTGAAACCTCTTTTTCTTATCAGCTCTTCTTTTGGAGCAGCTTTGAATCAATGTTACCATGTAGGCCCAGACATCCTGGCTGTGATTGGAGTTGACAAATTACAGGTGGATAATTTAGCCTGGAAATATGTCCATCTTAACGAGCCTGTAATCCCTTGCATCAGAAGTGACTGAATGGAGCTGAGCGTTTCCTGGCTGGATGCCCTTCCTGATGCCTATGCGGAGTTCACAGCAGATATTTTCTTTTTGTGCCCAGAGAGAGAAATAACTGCTGCTACTAGGGTTGAACTCACAGACTCTTGACTGTGAGGTGAGAGCTCCACTTCTAGGCTACCGTGCCATTTGGAGATACATACATGTTTATTTCATGCTTATTTGCCTAGGCTGGTCTTTCCAATTAAAAACACGCTTCCAAACTTGTGTTTCTTCAGGAGGTGAAGGAAGCTGGTCATGAGACATAAAATAATGACGGAGAAAGGGAAAAATCCAGATGCAAAATCCGAAAGAGAATTGCAAGAAGGCCTCAAAGCCGGGGTGACCCAAGAGAAGGCAGCAAGAACAACGAAAGACCTCCAAGCTGGGAATGCAGAAGGTTTTGCAAAAATGGGGGGCTCCAGATCAGCCAAGAGTGAGGCAGGAGATCGGCGGTTGAAATATTTGGATCCCCGGGCAGCTTTGAAGGCAATGCAGTCCTCCAAGCAGGAGGAACTGATTTCTGAACCATGGGAGAATGCCAAGGCCTGCCTGGCTTCCTTGGAAGGAGCAGCTGAAACCTATTGGAGATACAAAGGACTGGTGGATCTCAGCAGAGAAACTCAAAGGGAGAATGAACAAACCAATGCTGCCAAGATGGACGACTACTGGAAGGTGGGCGAGGATGTCCTGAGAGAGGACTCGGCGGCCACTGACACCCAGCGAACCCTTTTCAGAGACTTCTGTTACCGAGACGCTGAGGGTCCCCGTGAGGCCTGCAGCCGTCTCTGGTACCTCTGCCACCGGTGGCTGAAGCCGGAGAGGCACACCAAGGAGCAGATCCTGGAGCTGGTGATCCTGGAGCAGTTCCTGGCCATCCTGCCCTCCGATCTCCAGAGGTGGGTCAAGGCTGCCGGGCCTCACACTTGTGACCAAGCGGTGGCCCTGGCTGAAGGCTTTACCTCAGGACGGCCACAGGAGGTGAGACTTTAGAGAAAGCTAACTTTGTAATGGGAGTATGCTAGGGCTGGGGAGGGGTCCAAGAATATGGAGGGAGTGGGAAGTTAACTGTTCCAAGTAGACCAATCTAGGAAACCAAAGTCCTGAAGGCCAATATGACTTTTATTATAGACCTGGTAATAGAATCTTGCAACTCTTGAGTGTGCCTTCACCTCTCTCCTTTTCACTGTGTGAGTGTCAGGGTTCCAAGTAATACACCCATAGCAAACAGAACTCCGAGGCAGGTAGATTCCTCAAAGAACAGTTTCATTGGATATATCATATTGGCACAGACTGGTGAAAACCGACTCTAAAGGTCCCCGCAGTTTTCACCTAATTAAAAGTAAACGTTTTCCCCTTTTCCCAAACAAACAGTCACATGGTCCAATCAGGGGGCTGTCCAGTTGCTTCGTAACATCACTCCTCCTTTCTTCAGCCACCGGTTGGCATGTCCTTGGTTCCCAGGGGAAAGTATTTTGTTTCGGCTACAAACCTCCAACTATCTCTATTCCCCACTCCCTCATCTCCATTGTGGCAACACCGAAGCCTCAAAGATGGCCTCAGTCAGGCCAGCTACAGAATTGACAGTGAGAACTAGCGAGAGAGTTGTCTGAGACGCTTTCTCAGATTACAGTTCTGGCCTGGACTTCAGTTTCTTTTATCGGACTGTTGCCTTAGTAGCAGCTGTTCCTCAAGCGTATTCCTTTTCTCCATTACAGATAGTCCGCGACTTAACAACCATTTTGTTTAGCGACCATTCGAAGTTGCAATGGCAGTGAAAAAAAGTGACTTACGACCATTTTTCACACTTAACGACGATTGTGACATTCCCCTTGGTCACATGATCCAAATTTGGGTGCTTAGCAACTGGCATGGATTTATGAGAGTTGTGGGGTCATGTAATCCCCATTGTAACCTCCTCAGCTGAATTCCGACAAGTAATTTCAACGGAGAAAACTGGATTCACTTAACGACGGTGTGACTCACCTAAGCACTGCAGTGATTCGCTTAACAACTATGCCAAAAAAAGGTTGTAAAATGGGACAGAATTCACTTAACAATTGCCTTGCTTAGCAACAGATGTTTCGGGCTTAATTGTGTTTGTTAAATTAAGGATTATCTGTAAATGGGAAGGCCACCTAAGAGACCTACAATTCTTTTGACCTGTGGTGTCACTTTATATGTCAGTAAAATGTGATATAAAAAAACCAGGTGGGGAACTATGGCCCTTTAATGACTTGTGGACTTCGACTCCCAGAATCCTCTGAGCCAGCCATGCTGGAATTCTGGGAGTTGAAGTCCACAAGTCATAAAGGGGCCATTGTTCCCCATCTCTGCTTTAAGGAATATGAACCCCCTTTCTTTCTGAGGAACATGTGTGATCTCTGGAAATGTGATGTGTCTTTTTTGTGGGGGAAGAAACTGGCATCCTCGCTTTGCGAAAAATCTCCCCAACCTACTTTCCGTTCTGTTTCTTGTTGCTAAAAATAAATTTTGGGGTTATTTCAGGGACCAGGTTTGGTGCAGGAGGTGGCTGTGGGGTTCTCCACGGCTGAGCGGCCTCTGTCAGGGGCTGGAGAGAGACAAGCCAGTGCCGTCGAGGTCAAGCAGGAGCAGGATGGTGATAGCGATTCAGAAGGTAAGGGCTTTTAGTTGGGTGGGCTTCAAAAATTTTAGCAAGGGTTTCTCTGCCCTGTTGCTGGGTAGGCGTGGCCATGGTGGGCGTGTTCTAGTCAGCTTCCTGCACCACAGCCGGGAAGGGGGGCCTTTTTGTCCTCCCCAGGCTTTGGAGGTTTTCCTCGAGCCTCCGGGAGTGCAAAAACGGCCTCCCCAGGCTCCGGAGATCCTCTGGAGACTGGAAACAGGCCCATTTCCAGTCTTCCGAACTTCTGATAGGCCTGTTTTTTCCCTTCCTGAGCCTCCGCACGTGCCCTGCACTTACCTACATCCAAAACGGGCTGCATGTGGACTCCTGGGAGGGGCGGCGTGGGGTGGGAGGGGCCAGCCAGGAGTGGGATTTGGAGGTTCTCTGAACTGCACAGAATCTTAGCTAGAGGTTCTCCCGAAGCCCCTGCTTGTGGTATGCTGCTGTCTCCAAGATGCCTGGATTTTCAGAAGTTGTTTTAAGCTGAACACCAGCCCTTCGGAGTAGGCCAGGTCAAGAAACAAATTGCAGGATTCTGGTAGGATAAACTAACAAAACCGTGGAAGCCTGTTCCAAACCCTTACTGCTCTTTTTTAAGGATAACAAGGCAGGGCTGTTGTAAGTCTCTCTCCTGCTTTCTATTTACTCAGGGCTGAGCAACAGTTCCTACTCTCCAGCTTGTTTCTCAGAGCTAAATTATTCTGTGTCGGGAAATTTTATCAGTTAAGCATACAGCTAATCCTCAATTTATAACCATTCATTTAGTCAGCACTTGAAGTTACAGCAGTGTTCTGCCCCAGCTACGGACCCCAAAGAACGCAGCACACACAAAGTCTGTATAAACCTTAGTTTACTAAATTAAATCAGTCTTTTGCAAACAAAGCCTGTTAATTAACTTTCTTAACAGCCTACAAGAATCCAAAGAATAAATAATCGTAATCTTACTATGGTTGGCAGAAAGCCCAGAAGCAATTTGCAGGAAACTGATAAGAGCATTAAGATCAAGACACGAAGGAGAGTGAACGAAGTTGTTCCCTGCAAATTGCCTCAGTCATCATCCTTCCTTAAATAGGCTAAGGGAGTGGCCAATTACTCCCAAGTCTTACTCTCGAGGAGACTTCCTCCTGAGGAGCCACTCCTGCCTTTTGGCAGCTCTGCGCGGCCATACATCGAAAAGAGGCTCCTTCTCTTCTTCCTCTTCACTTATGGGAGGTTCTGAAGGCCCTGGCTGAATCCCTGCCTCTGGCACCACATCTTCTCCAGCCTCCTCATTGTCTGACTCAAGCGCCAGCTGCACAGGCTGCTGGCGCAACACCACACCAGCCTCCTTGCTGTCAGAATCAGCTACTAGCTGCACAGGCCGCTGACGGGCCACAACAAGCAGTACTAAAAAAAGTGACTTATGACTATTTGTCACACTTCTAACCATTGCAGCATCTCCCGTGGTCATGTGATCAAAATTCAGGCACTGGATAACTCGTTCATATTTATGATGATTGTAGCATCCCAGGGTCACGTCATTACCTTTTGTGACCTTCTGAGAAGCAAAGTCAATGGAGAAGCCAGATTCACTTCACAACTGTGTAACTATAGCACTAGCACTAGCACTTAGACTTATATACCACTTCACAGTGCCCCCAACAATCTGGGTCCTCATTTTACCGACCTCGGAAGGATGGAAGGCTGAGTCAACCTTGAGCCGGGCAGGATCGAACTGTTGAACTGCTGGCAGCCGGCAGTCAGCAGAATGAGCCTGCAATACTGCATTCTAACCACTGCGCCACCATGGCTCTTAACAACTGCAGTGAACTAACTTAACAACTGCAGTGAATTCACCTAACAATTGTGGCAAGAAGGGTCGTAAAATGAGGCAAAGCTCACTTGACAACTGTCTCGCTGAGCACTGAAAATTTTGGATTCAATTGTCATAGTTTAAGGACTATCTATACATTTGTGATTGCTTCACTCTTCATGCATGTGGGTGAACAGAATAATTCTGAAATCTGAGAGGAGGTTGTGACCATTTATTGCACCTTTATAAAAAGTTAGGGTTCAGCCCCTTTCCCATCATCCTTTTCATGCAACCGGTTCTTTGTCATATTCTAATGCAGTGCCTCTCAAGTTTGGCTAATTGAAGATGGGGGGACGGCAACTCCATGGCTGGCTGGGGAATGCTGAGAGTTGAAGTCTACCCATCTACAAGTTGCCAAGGTTGAGAAACATGTTTTAACGCAGAGGTCTCCAAACTTGGCAATTTTAAGACTTACGGACTTCAACTCCCAGAATTCCTTAGGCAACCATGTTGGCTGGGGAATTCTGGGAATTGAAGTCCACAAGTCTTAAAAGTTGCCATGTTTGGAGACCCTGGTTCTAATGGAATGGAGTAGGTGGGATTTTATTTTTTTTTTAATCATCCGAGCTTGGAACAAAATATTTCCTACATTATAGTTGAGAAACTGCTTGGAACCATCTGACTGGCCAGTTTGAAAATGGGACATTAGAATGTTGATGTGGTAGCCGTGCTCTGCTTGGATTCTTGAGTAACCCTTTTCCCTCTATGCTCCCCACAGATGACAAGTGGGTGATTGAGACGAGGCAAGGGGATCTCCAGTTGGAAGACACCGAGCCAGTGAAATTGTGTGGGCCCTCCTTGCAAGAACCTTATTGGTCCGAAGAAGATGGAGATGCAGCTCTTGGGGATGGAGCTGACCAGAAGAATGAGGACAACCCAGGTCAAAACAGACCTGAAGGGCTTCCTCTAGCAGAAGAAGACGGGGACTCAAGTCAACCTGTTATGGTCCAAAGACGGCACAGAAGTCGAGAAAAGAAGACCTGTGCCGTGTGCGGCAAGACTTTCAGCCGGAGCACGGTGCTCGCTGCCCATCAGAGGACCCACACGGGCGAGAAGCCATTCATGTGCCAGAATTGTGGGAAATGCTTCAGCTTCAAGTCCACTCTGGTTGCCCACGAAAGGACCCACACGGGAGAGAGGCCTTACACCTGTGATCTGTGTGGGAAGAGCTTCACCGTCAGCTCAGTCCTCACCAGGCATTACCGAGTCCACATCGAAAAGAAACTCTTCAGCTGCTCCGAGTGTGACAAGAGCTTCACTCAGAAATCTCAGTTGCTCAACCATCAGAAGATCCACGTGAGGGAAAAGCCGTTCAAATGTGCCCAGTGTGGAGAAGGTTTCAGCCGGAGCTCCAGCCTCAAGAAACACGAGGGCTCCCACACGGGGGAGAAACCCTTCAAATGCCCCGATTGCGAGAAATCCTTCAACACGTCTTCCCAGCTGGTCAAGCACCACCGAGTCCACACCGGGGAGAGGCCCTACACATGTTCGGAGTGTGGGAAGAGCTTCAGCCAGTGGCAGATCCTGATGGTGCACCAAAGGACCCACACGGGCGAGAAACCCTTCAAGTGCGCCACCTGCGGGAAATGCTTCTCCGATCGGGCTGTCCACATTCGCCACCAGAAAGTCCACACAGGGGAGAGGCCTCATCAGTGCCCCACTTGCGGGAAGAGGTTCACCCACCGCACCGTCTTGGTGAAGCACCAGAAGATCCACGCCCGAGAAGCTCTGAACCTAGCCAAATTGCAAGATGAGCAGCAACGACACGAGGAAACTTCATAAAAGTTTGCAAGACGGGACGAATGCTCAACTTTGAAGGATACCGACGGGCGACGCTCTTCCCTGAGCCTTCCCTACCTTTTTTGGCTTCCAGATGCGTCAAGACCCATGGTCTTCCTGGCTTAAAAACAGATGGGAGTTGCAGTCCAATAAAGGAACTGGGTTGGCTTGATAGCACAGGATTCTGCTGTATTGTGCAAAGATGTATATGTATCAGATAATCAGTATGTCTACAACAGAGGTCTTCAAACATGGCATAGCTTGCTGGAGAATTCTGGGAGTTGAAGTCCACAAGTCTTAAAGCTGCCAAGTTTGAAGACCTCTGGTCTACAATCACACCGTGGCAAACGGTCACTTTCCCAGGGCTGAGCATGATGGGTTAGGCAACACTTTCTTTGACACACGTGGGGATCCTCCAGTGGGCCTACTCCTCCACCACTCCCCAGTCCCCTCATCTTCCATGTTGTGACTGTCTCTGTGTATGCACTTTTGTCTTCCTGATAAAAGTTGCCGGCGTTGTTGTCGAGTCTTGGCAAAGTCAACTTTTTCAAGATCTACTTTAGCTATGCACTACAGTGATAAAGAAAGCAGTTCATGAGGACAGATTAAGCCCCTCCCATTTGTGCACAGACATCAACTAGTAGTAGATAATGTATCCGATAGAGAAGCATCCTGTTTTAATTCAATTCCCCATCACAATGTTATTGTTTTTTTGCCACTGTTCTTTGGTTGTTGGTCCCCACGTTTCTGATTTTGGACACCAACATGCTGTTGTGTTTCTGTATTATAAGGATAAGAGGATAATGTATATCACAAAAACGGATTAAAGCAAAAATTAGAAGTGCCTCATAATTAGCCTGTCTGTAAGCTTGCCTTTCGGTTGTTAATGCAGTTGCTGTCAAATATAATGCTTTCATTGTCTATCCACTGCAAGATTAATGCGTCTTCTGCACGTTTCCAGCCAATAGAGTCCTGAGCGAGGGCCGTTTTTGAGTTTGTATTGGCAAGTGGAAGGAATAGACCATAATCTGCTACACCGGTCCAGTGCGGGTTGGCAGGTGTGATCGGTGTTAATCTGGGGTATCCATCATGGCCTGTTCACCTTGAGAGACCCTTCTGAATGTTGTTGTGACTCAGGCCCAAGTAAGTAGTAGGAAAATCAGTCAGTGAAAAAACAAATAAACTTTATTTGAACAGCTGAGAATTACTTCATTCCCAGCGTCGTTCAACTAAATTAAAGCAAATTCCTCCCAACACAAATTCCTCAGTCCTATCGCAGTCCTTGGTCCAATTAGGCAAACTGCCAAAGGCCTTTCTTGGCAAATGTTCAGAAGTCACAGATACAAAAATAAATACAAGACATAGATGAAGAAGACGACGAAGCTACCAATGTTGTTTTCCGGCAAAGCCCAAACGCCGTTGCTGGTCTGTTTTAAGACTTATGGGAGGGGCCAATCATCTCTTGGCCCTACTCCCGAGTTGTCCTCTTTGCTTGAGCTGCTCTTACCTTCTGGCAGCTCTTCTCATGCGTGCATTAGGAACAGGCTCCTCCTGTTCCTCTTCCTCACTCCTATCAGTCTCTGGAGGCTCTGAAGTCCACACCTCACTCCCCGATGGCCCTGGCCCCATCTCTGCCTCTGACCCTGAGCCCTCATCCAGGCCTTCCCCAGCCTCCAGGACTGGCCCATGTTCTTCCTCAGCCTTGGTGGTGGTGGTGGGGTAATGTGACTGGGTGGGCCTGGCCAACTTTTTGTTTTTAAACTTTTCAAAGCATTTTTTCTAATGCTTTGAAAAGCCTCTGCCGATCAAGCAACTCAGCTGGGATCGTCAGAGACTTTTCAAAGCATTTTTTTTACCACCTCTTCGGCCAAGAGGTTGCAGAAAAAAAATGCTTTGAAAAGCCTCTGACGGTCCCAGCTGAGCCGCACGATCATCAGAGGCTTTTTTAAAAAAACTTTTAAAAGCATTTTTTCGTCGGAAGAGGTTGTAGAAAAAATGTTTTTAAAAGTAAAAAAAAAAAAAAAGCCTCTGATGATCATGTGGCTCAGCTGGACATTGTGGGGGGAGGGGGGCGCAGGGAATTTTTGCTACCGGTTCTCCGAACCACCTGCTGCCATCGCTACCGGATCGGACGATCCGGTCCGAACCGGGAGCATTTCACCCCTGTCCTGGGGTCATATGATCAGCTTCTGCTCCCGTCTGATAAGCAAAGTCAATGAGGAATCCAGATTTACTTCTCCACTGTGTGACTCACTTAACAAATGCGGAGATTCACTTAACAATAGCGGCAAGAAACGTTGCAAAACTCACTTAACAAATGTTTCCCTTTCAGCCGCGGTGGTGCAGTGCTTAAGAGTGCAGTGTTGCAGGCTACTTCTGCTGACTGCCGGCTGCCTGCAGTTTGGCAGTTCGAATCTCACCAGGCTCAAGGTTGACTCAGCCTTCCATCCTTCAGTAAAATGAGGACCCAGATTGTTGGGGGGGCAATATGCTGACACTGTAAACCGCTTAGAGAGGGATGTAAAGCACTATGAAGCAGTATATAAGTCTAAGTCAGTGGGTCTCAACCTTCCTAATGCCGCGACCCTTTAATACAGTTCCTCATGTTGTGGTGACTCCCAACCATAAAATTATTCCTAAGACCATTGAAAAAATGTGTTTTCCGATGGTCTTAGGCGACCCCTGTGAAAGGGTTGTTCGACCCCCAAAGGGGTCCCGACCCACAGGTTGAGAACCACTGGTCTAAGTGCTATTGCTATTAACAAATGTTTCACTTAGTAATCTAAATTTTGGGCTCAAAATTTATAGAATCCACCCTGGCTGGGATGCTGGAAAAAAAACAAACCAATAAATTCTCCTCCCCCTTACATAATCGTATTTTCTGAATTATGGTGTAATATTTCAGAGAGGGGGCAGCCATGGGAAGATAACATAGAAGTTCAGGCTGAATTTACACAACAGTAGTCTTTTTTTTTTTAAAAAAACCCACCGGTTATGGAGTTGGAAGGAACTTGGAGGTCTTCTAGTCCAACCCCCTGCTCAGGCAGGAAACCCAATGCCATTTCAGCCAAATGGTTGTCCAATCTCTTCTTAAAAATCTCCAGTGCTGGAGCATTCACAACTTCTGGAGGCAAGTTGTTCCACTGGTTAATTGTTCTGTCAGGAAATTTCTCCTCAGTTCTAGGTTGCTTCTCTCCTTGATTAGTTTCCACCCATTGCTTCTTGTCCTGCCTTCAGGGGCTTTGGAGAATAGTTTGACTCCCTCTTCTTTGTGGCAGCCCCTGAAATATTGGAACACAGCTATCATGTCTCCCCTAGTCCTTCTTTTCATTAAACTAGACATACCTAGTTTCTGCAACGTTCTTTAGCCTCCAGTCCCCTAATCATCTTTGTTGCTCTTCTCTGCACTCTTTCTAGAGTCTCCACATCTTTTTTTTTTACATTGTGGCGACCAAAACTGGATGCAGTATTCCAAGTGTGGCCTTACCAAAGCATTATAAAGTGGTATTAACACTTCACGTGATCTTGATTCTATTCCTCTGTTAATGCAGTCTAGAACTGTGATGGCTTTTTTGGCAGCTGCAGCACAGTGTTAGCTCATATTTAAATGAATGTCCACTAGGATTTAATTTAATTGTTACCCAACTCCATTATGACTCTAGGAGGCAGACTAGACAAAATTTAAAATGGCCCACCCATGTAATATGAAATAAAAAAAAAAAACCATCCAGAGAAAAATAGTACCATCTCACAAATCACAACATCTGAGAAGCAGCCAGGTTTTAAGGATTTATTTAAATCAATGTCTCTCAAACTCTTAAGATGTGTGGACACTTCAACTTCCAGAATTCCCCAAGCCAGGATGGGGGTCATATGGATTCTTAGGAGAATATCTATATTGCTGGTTTCTTGGGTCTCATTAACGGCCATTGCTTAATAATTGGTGGAACCTGGAACATGCTGATTTTGCTGGATTATTTTTATTTACCGTATTTTTCAGAGTATAAGACGCACTGGAGTATAAGACGCACCTACCTTTTTTGGTGAGGAAAAGAAGAAAAAAGAAATCTCCCTCTGCCTCTGAGCACTTTTGCCTCCTTGCAGCAAACAGCCTGCTTTACTTTCATTTTTGTTTTCAGCATAGCTGGATTAGCAACAAGGAAAAAAAAAATCTGCTCCAGCAATTTACCTCTTTGTAGCAAGCAGCAGAGCCCTGTGCAAAACAGCTGAGAGCAAAACAGCTGAGAGTCGGGAGGCCGAGCCAATCAACTTGTGCTAATTAGGCTGTGCTGAAGCTGAAAGGAGCTGTTTTTTCTTACTGTTTGCTTGCAAGGAGGTAAATGCTGTGAGGCAGAGGCCAAAGGGTGGGGGCCAGTGGGTGGGCGGGGCTACATTCGGTGTATAAGACCCACCTAAATTTTCACCCCTTTTTAGGGGGGAAAAAGGTGTGTCTTATACTCCGAAAAATACGGTATTTATTAAATTTATACACTGCCCCATCTTACCATTGGGAATATGGAGTAGGCAGACAATCCCTCCAACAACCAGGCCCATCCTAGATCATGACATTATGGATCAGTGTTTTTTTCAAACTTGGCAACTTTTAAGATGGGTGGACTTCAACTCCCAGAATTCCTCACAGCCAGCAGGCCCTCACTCTTCCTGTTGTGACTTTAAACAAAAAAAAAAAGCCAGGCATTGAAATAAACAATGTTTCTGGGCATCACAAATGTGTTTTGTATATAAAAAAACAAGGCCATCGTTTTCTCCTGTTTTTAAAAAAAAGTTCTTATTTTTATTGAATTAGTCCCATTTTTACAACTTTGGAGCTTTGCTACTTAAAGGTACAGCGACCTGTAAATGTGGATAAACCAAAAGGATTTTTTCCCCATGGACTTTCTACCTTCCTTGAAATTTCCCCCCTAAAAATATAGGTGCAGAACCCAAAGAAGGGTGGAGTTTTAGGATCCTTAAACATCCAAGAAATGGCTAGCATTGTCCAAAGATAAGGCTTAGAACTGTGAGAAGCAACAGAGTATCTTTTGCAAAATGGTTCATGTAAAACAGGGGTCTCCAAATTTGGCAACTTTGAAGACTTGTAGATTTCAACTCCCAGAATTCTGGGGGAAGGGAACAGGGGTGAAATGCTCCCGGTTCGGATCCGGTAGCGATGGAGATGGGTGGTTTGGAGAACTGGTAGCAAAAATCCCTGCCGCCACCCCCCCCAGCTGAGCCACGCAATCATCAGAGGCTTTTTTTTTTTAACTTTTAAAACCATTTTTTCTACAACCTCTTCAGCCGAAAAAATGCTTTTAAAAGTAAAAAAAAAAGGCTCTAATGATCGTGAGGCTCAGCTGGGATCGTCAAAGGCTTTTAAAAGCATTTTTTCTACAACCTCTTCAGCTGAAAAAATGCTTTTAAAAGTAAAAAAAAAGCCTCTGATGATTGCGCGGCTCAGCTGGGATCGTCAAAGGCTTTTAAAAGCATTTTTTCTACAACCTCTTCGGCCCAAAAAAATGCTTTTAAAAGTAAAAAAAAAAAGCCTCTGATGATTGCGCGGCTCAGCTGGATCGTCAAAGGCTTTTAAAAGCATTTTTTCTACAACCTCTTCGGCCGAAAAAATGCTTTTAAAAGTAAAAAAAAAAAAGCCTCTGCCGATCAGGCAACTCAGCTTGGATTGTCAGAAGCATTTAAAAGAAAAAAAGCCTCTGCCGATCAGGCAACTCAGCTGGGATCGCCAGAGCTTTTTGAAAGCATTTTTTTACAACCTCTTTGCTGAAGAGGTTGTAGAAAAAATGGTTTTAAAAGTAAAAAAATAAATAAAAATGGCCATGCCCACCCAGTCACATTATCCCCCCCCACCAAGCCAGGCCCACAGAACCGGTAGTAACAAATTTTAGATTTCAACACTGAAATTCTGGGAGTTGAAGTCCACAAGTTGCCAAGTTTGGAGACCCCTGTTGTAAAGCTTTCCAGTGGATTCAGTCTCCTCTCCACCCATTTGATCAACCCCATCCTACATAGTTTATTTGGTAATTAATGGATTTAGAATTAACGTTGCTTTCAGCTGTTTTCGTATTTACAGCATCCAAGTGCCTGGCTCTATGATGCTCTACAAAATGGGGCCTTGTATAGAAACTTTCCCCGCAGTATATGCATTTATAGGGCTTCCCTCCAGCGTGGGTTTTTTGATGGACGACCAGATTCGAATTTAGATTGAATCTTTTCCCACACTCCGAGCACTGATACGGTTTTTCTCCGGTGTGGATCCTCAGATGTCTAATAAGAGCAGAGTTGCACGTGAAGCTCTTGCTGCAATGAGAGCACGCATACGGTTTTTCTCCCGTGTGGGTTCTCTGATGGATGCTGAGCTGCGAACTCACACTGAACAATTTGCCGCATTCCAAGCACTCGTACGGCTTTTCTCCCGTGTGAATTCGCTGGTGTGCGATAAGGTTGGCGCTCAAGACGAAGCTTTTCCCGCAGTCTCCGCAACGGAAAGGTTTTTCCCCCGTGTGAATTCTCTGGTGGCGGATGAGCCCGGAGCTGCAGCTGAAGGTTTTGCCACACTCTATGCAATCGAATGCCTTTTCTCTGTGCCTTTTCTTGTGAGCTGTGAGACTCGACCTTAGATAAACGCTTTTGGGACAGTCAGAACATTTGTAAGGCTTCATACCCGCGTGCGTTCTCTGGTGGGCGTTAAGGCTCGACATCACACTGAAGCTTTCCCCACATTCCGAGCATTCATAGGGCTTCTCTTCCGTGTGGGTCCTCCGATGCACGCCGAGTTGGGAGCTCACACTGAAGGTTTTGCCACAATCGGGGCATTCGTGGGGTTTCTCCCCCGTGTGGGTCCGCCGGTGTCTGCTGAGGCTCGAATTGCAGCTGAAGGTTTTCCCGCAGGCCGCACATCCATACGGTTTGTCTTCCGTGTGGATCCTCTGATGCCGAACGAGGCTGGAGCTGCAGGCGAAACCTCTCCCACAGTGAGGACAGCGATAGGGTTTTTCCCCAGTGTGGATTCTCTCGTGAGCAATGAGGTTGGAGCTCTGGCTAAAACTTTTCCTGCAGGCCGAGCAAGAGTAGGGTTTCTCACCTTTGTGGGCTTGCCCGTGCGCAACCAATGCCGATTTCTGGCTGAAATGTCTCCCGCATTCAGAGCACGCGTAAGGTTTTTCTCCCGTGTGGATTCTTCGGTGGGCAACCAAGCTCGATTTCAGCCTGAAGTTCCTCCCGCACTCCGGGCAAGCATAGGGTTTTTCTTTGGTATGGATTCGCTCGTGGGCAACGCGGCTGGAGATCTGCCGAAAGCTCTTCCCACACACGCTGCATCTGTACGGTCTCTCCTCCAGATGGATTCTCCGATGAGCAACGAGAGTCGATTTCTTGCCAAAGCTTTTCCCGCAACGACCGCACTTATAAGGTTTTGCTCCGGTGTGGATTCTCTCGTGAGCAATAAGTTTGGAGGTACTGCTGAAACTTTTTCTGCATCGGCTGCACACAAGTTGTTTCTTGCTTTTATCTGCATTGCTTATATTGCCTGGTCCATGATGAAGGGGCTGAGTTATAGTTTTATTTGCCCAGTCTTCATTGTTTGGCTTGTTTTCCAAGTTCTCTTCCTCCTTCAGAGTGTGGAAATGGGATTTGCTTAACAATTTCTCACGTACGCCTAATGGTTCAGAGTTATCCGAACTGGAAATTGTCTTCTTCTCGTCTTCCTGAGCCTTTGGCCTTTGAATTACTGAAACAACAAGTTAAGTCAAGTGATTAGCTCATATAGATGAGGAAAAAGGTTTTTTTTCCCCACTCTGATAACAAAATTGAAAGCCTTTGGATAAGGTATAGGTTCCCCTCGCACATATGTGCTAGTCGTTCCCGACTCTAGGGGGCGGTGCTCATCTCCGTTTCAAAGCCGAAGAGTCAGCACTGTCTGAAGACACCTCCATGGTCATGTGGTCGACATGACTAAACGCCAAAGGCACACGGAACGCTGTTACCTTCCCACCAAAGGTGGTCCCTATTTTTCTACTTGCATTTTTTACGTGATTTCGAACTGCTAGGTTGGCAGAAGCTGGGACAAATAATGGGAACTCACCCCATTACGCGGCACGACGGATTCAAACCGCTGAACTGCCGACCTTTCGATCGACAAGCTCAGCGTCTTAGCCACTGAGCTACCGCATTCCATTATGTACCCCTTGGATACAACACCGCAGTACCACATCAGGCATATCGGTGACTTTTTCAAAAGATGGGCGCTGTGACACAATGGCATGCAGGTAGTCCTTGACTTACGACCGCAATTGCGCCCCAAATGTCTGTTGCTAAGCGAGACAGTAGTTAAGTGAGTTTTGCCCCATTTGATCTTCCTTGCCACAGTTGTTAAGTGAATCACTGCAGCTGTTAAGTTAGGAACGTGGTTGTTAAGTGAATCTAGCTTCCCCGTTCTCCTTGCTTGTCAGAAGGTCGCAAAAGGGGATCCCGTGACCCCGAGACACTGCAACCGTCATAAATGTGAGTCAATTGCCAAGGGTCTGCATTGTGATCACTTGACCATGGAGATGCTACAACTGTCGTTAAGCGTGAAAAATGGCCGTAAGTCACTTTTGTCAGTGCCGTTGTAACTTTGAACGGTCCCTCAATGAACTGTTGTAAGTCAAGGACTGCCTGTACAATGTTATTGGGGGCCTATATTTTTAAAAAGTGTAACTGGATAGTGGCTTCTGCTGGGGATAGTTAAAAAAAAGAAACAGGACCTGGAAGTTGAGCAGTGAATTGTGAAGACTTGGATCCCAGTAACTGTAAGAAAATCCAGTTTACCTTGGCACTCTGCATCTATGTTCTGGAGGATGGGACTTTGCGCCATTGGGGTCCCTGGAGTCTCTCCTGGCTCCATCAAACGTGGCTGTTTGGGGAACCACAATGCCTTCACAGCTAGAAAAAGGATATTAAAAGAGATTTTAACAATGCTGGCTATTAAGCTGTCCATTCTGAAATTTGCTCTTCCTTTTCTGTTCACAAACCCTCTCTTCTCCTTTATTGAGACTCTCTTCCTGTCTCTTGATAGTTTAGATCAGGGGTCACCAACCTTTCGGACCTCAGGGGTGGGTTCTAATTTTTTTTTACTACCGGTTCTGTGGGCGTGGCTTATTTTGTGGGCATGGCTTGTGTGGGGGGTAATGTGACTGGGTGGGCGTGGCCAACTTTTTTTAAAAAAAACTTTTAAAAGCATTTTTTCTGCAACCTTAAGAAGTTGCAGGAAAAAATGCTTTTAGAAGCTTCTGACGATCAGACAAGTCAGCTGGGATCGCCAGAGGCTTTTAAAGGCATTTTTCCCCCCGTACAATCTCTTCCGCTTTTAAAAGCCTCTGAGATCCTAGCTGAGTCACACAATCATCAGAGGCTTTTTTTTTAACTTTAAAAAGCATTTTTTCAGCTGAAGAGGTTGTAGAAAAAATGCTTTTAAAAGTAAAAAAAAAAAAAAAAAAAAAAAGCCTCTGATGAGGTGGGTGAGGTAAGCGAGCGGCGACCAGGCTGGGGACCGGTTTGGGGGTATGGCCAGCCAATGTTATTACCGGTTTTCCGAACTACTAAAATTTTTTACTACCGGTTCTTGTGAACCGATGCAAACCAGGAGCAACCCACCACTGCAGGGACCATTAAATTCATAATTTTAAATCCCGCGGACCACTAATATGATCTGCCTAATGACCGGCTGGGTGGGTGTGGCTAGGTGGTCATGTGCCTGGGTGGGTGTGGCCAACTCAGTGTCACTCACGTTGAGGAGCAACTCTACTCACCCCTCCCTTCCCAGCCACTCCTCCCCTCCCCGCATGGTCTCCTTAGTGCCCCAAAAGGAAGGAGTTGTTGGAGCTAAGCAGCCACCATGAGAAAGAGTTGGCAAAACAGCTCAGTTCAAATTGGATCTGACTGAGAAGGAGGCTCAGTAGAAGCACCTCACTGAGGACTAGGAGCATAGGCTTTCCAAGCAGAGGGAAGACCTGCGGGAATCCAAGGCCAGGTACAGATGCCTGGAGGCTCAGCGGGCTGAGATGGTCAGCCAGTTCCAGGCCATGATGCGGTCCCACTGGAACGAGGCCCTCCAGCTCTTCGCCATCAGGGGCACTTCTCTCCAGCCTTCGCCCAAAGCCCCACATCAGGAAGCTGAAGCAGACCCCAAGTCAGAATTTCTGTCTCTCTCCGACCCGCACAAAAAGATCCAGAAGGGGGAGACTCTCTGAAGCAACACAAATGTTCATTGCACGTATCTGTCCCAGGGGCCATAGTTTGAGGACCTCTGATTTAGTGCAATATAAAAAATGCAAATAATTTTCCTGTGGCCCACTGAAATTTTCTTGCAGACCACTAGTGGTCCACGGACCACCAGTTGGTAACCGCTGGTTTAGATCGGTGTTTCTCAACATTGACAGCTTTAAAAGGTGTGGACTTCAACTCCCAGAATCCCCCTGCCACCACGCTGGCAGAGAGATTCTGGGAGTTGAAGTCCACACCTCTTAAGAGTTGCCAAGGTTGACTAATACCGGCTTAGTTCTAAATTCTCTTCCATCCACACCTTTCCTAACTGCCCCACAACCTCTTACGCACAGCTTGCACAAAACAATCCTTTTTTTTAAATAAATGGAAAAATTTTAAAATAGCAGGTCAAACAGAGGCCCAGTTCACCCATTTTTTCAGCTGCTGACATTTTGGAATAAATTTTTATAATAGCGAGGAAAGCTTTGAACAAAATAAGCTAAAAACTAAATATTGAAACGGTCAAATATTGTGAGAATTTATGTCAGGACACAAGTATCTTGTAAGGCCAGATCAGAGCATGATGGCGCTGCTATTTGAAATTACAGATATAAGAATATTGAAAATCATTTAATTCCTTGTGCCCCATCTGCATAAGAAAAAAAAATATGTCAAAACTAAAGATGATTACGCTGGGATTAACAGTGGAATAAAGATGTATTTTGTACATTGGGATTAACAGATTTGAAATTTAGGGGTTTTATAATTGAGCCTATTATTTAATAATTTTAATAATTTTAAAATTTTGTCTGTCTTTGTGCTTTTAATCAGACTGTACACCGCCCTGAGTCCTTCAGGAGAAGGGCGGTATAGAAATAAAATAAATAAATAAATAAAATAAATAAAACAGTGGAAGGATAAAAGAAAAGGTTAAATTAGAAAATTTAACCTTTAACCCAAATAATAATTTGGGATACTGTTTAAATATGTATAACAATTGTGATAATTTGAACATTTATTACCTAAGTGAAAAAGAAAAGAAAACTGAAACAATATGTGATTATGATTTATAAACAAAAATTACTTAATTGGTGTTATATAAATGGTATGGTTTGATAGATAGAATCCAGGATAATTGGGAAATTGTGTTACAAAGCATTATCTGAACTAAGAACTATGTATAAATGTTAAATTGCTATATTTCTAAAATTACAAAGTAAGATTTAAATTTGATAAATAATGGAATAATGAGCATAATGAAATATAAATATGTTTGAATTGTATTGTTAAAAGTGAGGATTTAGGGTAAGAATTGTTGTATTATGAGTTATTAATTGAATTAAGAATTAAGGTGGGTTAATAGAAGGGTAATTGTTTTGATTAAGTAAATATGTGTTAATTTTTTTAAGATGGTATTAGTTGAATATGTGATATAAGATCTAGAAATAAGTGCTATGGCAAAATGGTATAGATAAAATTTTGTTAAAAGATTTTGTTAAAAATTGAACAAAGTGATGTCCGGATCAAAGCTCTGTTCCGAAAGGATGTAATTTGTATGTCTGGAAAAAAATAAAAAAAACTTTTTGCAAAACAAAACAAAACAAAACAAAAAAAATGTCAACCTATATTAACATATGTTAGAATACATATTGTCTTTTATGAAGGTGGTTAATGCAGCAGACATAGCATTCCCTCCTATTTCCCCCCCCCCCCACAACCACCATACAGAGTTGAAGAAGCTTCTTGGATGAGAAGCGAAACGTCTTCAAAGAAAAAAACCAGAAAGTCCAGTTTGCCTCTTGAAAAAAAAACCAAACAAACCACTTTTGGGACAACCACCATACAAGGTAGGCCGAAACGGAAAAGAGTCACTGGCTCCAAAAGGTAACCAAATGAGGGATGATGGCCTTCATCCCATCCAGATCATTTTAAGACTACAACTTCCACGGTGCCCAGCTAGAGCTCTGCGATCCAACGTTGCTCCAAGATGTTTGTATCTTTTATAAAACTTTTCAATAAAAAAAAAACAAAACAGAAAGTCCAGTGGCCTCTTGAAAAAAAAAAAAAAAAAAAGCACCTTTGGGTCAGCCAGGAACAGTTCCCCTGAGCTTATACAGAGCGCTTTTTTCTTCTTTTTGCTCTCAAAGGTCTCCTGAGCAGTCCCAAAACTTCCCGGGTTACTTTGGTGGATTTGAGGCTCACCTCGTGCTCTGAAAGGCGATTCCCAACCCCGAGGGCTGCGACCGATGGGGGCTGTAGTCCAGATCCTGGAAGGCGTGGAAGGGGGTGGGTGGGTTTGAAAGGCTGAAAAGCTGACTTCCGCGCCCCTCCCCTTTCGAAGCCTGGGAATTCTACTGACGCCTGACTTCAAAGGGATCGCCTCGGAATTCTTATGACGTCACGTTCGGACTTGCTTTGATCGTGGCTTTCTCTCTCCCCTTTGATGTTTGCGCCGATCGTTCGAAAGATACACGCGGGAAGGGCGGCAGTTTCGCGCGGGGTGGGGTGTTTATTGAACCCCGTGGGATGGAATTTTTTTTTAGGGGGTTTTTGAAAAAAACCTGAGTGGGGATCCCCCCTCAGTCCGATCCCTCCTTCCTGCACCGGAGGGATCGAATAGGATCCCTCCGGCTGTGCCCACACTAAGCCTGTTTACCTGTCTCCGGATATAACCCCGCCGTCCGGCTGGAGAGATCGGCCTCTTCCTCCCTAGATCCAGTAGCGTCAAACGAGCGAAGCCTACCGGTTTTAGCAAACCGTCATGCGGTCCAGAGCCCTCTGCCGGTCGCCGGCGCTCCATTGCGGCTGTTTTATCCGCTTTGGAGCGGCAAAAATAGCCTCTGAGCATGTGCAGACGCCTTTCTCCGGGGAGAGATTTCCCTATGGCCGATCGGACTCTTTGTCCCCCTCCCCCCTCCCCAGTGAGTCGTGTGAAAACGCCTTTGTCCTGGAAGCGACTCGAATTTCACTTTAAAAAAATAATAATAATCCTGAATTTGTGCGACTAAGAGCTGTTTTATTTTATTTTATTTTATTTATTTTTTATTTATTAATTTTATTCCTATACCGCCCTTCTCCTGAAGGACTCAGGGCGGTGTACAGCCTGATTAAAAACACAAAGACAGACAAGAGTTTAAAAATAATTAAAATTATCAAATAATAGGCCCAATTTATAAAACCCCAAATTTAAAATTTAACCCCAAATTTAAAAGGAGCCTTGGTAGTACAGTGGTTTAAAGCCCCCTGTTATTAAGACCAGCTGCCTGCAATTACTGCAGGTTCGAATCGCGCCAGGCTCAAGGTTGACTCAGCCTTCCATCCTTTCTAAGGTGAGGTAAATTGAGGACCCAGTTTGTGGGGGCAATAAGCTGACTTTGTATAAAAATATACAAAAGGATGAAGGCTATTGCTTAGCGCATTGTAAGCTGCCCTGAGTCTCCGGAGAAGGGCGGCATATAAATCAAATTAAAAAAATATTTTTTTAAAAAAAATCCCATTTAAAACCAATTAAAATCTTTACATTGATAGCCCAGCCTGGCAGAACAACATGGTTTTGAGGGCACAGCGAAACACATGGAGATCAGAGATTTTACGAATTTTTGGGGGCAGGTCATTCCACAGAGCTGGGGCTCCCACAGAGAAGGCCCTCCCCCTGGGTGTTGCCAGCCGACATAATTTGGCCGATGGCACCCGGAGGAGACCCTCTCTGTGGGAGCGAACTGGCCGGTGGGAGGCTACTGGTGGCAGAAGACGGTCTCGAAGGTACCCGGGTCCTATGTTTCTGAATCCGAATCGAGCTGGGAGGGAACTTGGAGGTCTTCTAGTCCAGCCCCTATCCTATTTCAGACAGTTGGCTGTCCGGTCTTTTCTTAAAAACTTCCAGTGGTGAAGCACCCATAACTTCTGGTGGCAAGCTGTTCCACTGGTTAATTGTCCTCACTTAGAGACTTAGAATAACTTTATTGTCGCTTTGAATTCCTCACTGTTAGGAAGATTCCCCTTTAAGCTGCTGAATTATTATTTTTGGCAATAATTATTCCGGCGTCCTGCGAATAATTTTTAAATTTTTAAGTTTTTTATTTTAAAATGTTTTTTATTAGGATTTTAAAGCGCGCTTCAGACTTTTTTATTCCATCAAACTGGCCTGGCCTAAATCTTCTCCCCTTTTTAAATATAAATTTTAATTTGTTTTAAATTATGGGGTATTTTAAATTCAGCCAAATTATTTA